ATATCGTTAACAGACACATTTGGCAACTCCAGCAAACACCTTATGAACTTCGTCTCTGCCATCGTAAATGTCGACTGTCACTGTTTAATGTTTTCTTTCGTTAACCGGAAATGTCCAAACATCCTTACGCCAATGCGGAAGTGATGCGTGCATAGAGCCTATTGTCTGATGTCAGTTGCCATGGGATTGAGTTTAACACCATCAACATAAACCAAATTTTTCAAACTCAAATAGATTAAATGGTTTAGAATATTCTGAAAGGCCTGCAGTTGAGAGAGCCAATTTTAATTCCTTTCAATTAATCAATTGCGCAATTACAATTTTTCTTTTTTGTTGTTGCTCCTGATTTTTTTTTCCAGCAAATATTTTCAGCTTGTGTGTGCATGGTAGCACAATTTCCACAACGGCACCTATACAAAGAAGTACATGTAATAATGGCAAAGGTCTGACTAATATAGTGGTTCTGGTTTGTGTATATACATATATTAAATATATATATATATGCAGGTGTTGAGTAGAGTTAACTCTTGAGGAGTAAATCATTGGTTATGTGTAACATGACTTCAATATACGAGGACATGGAGAACTTTGTCATTAAAATAATAAGCCACATTACAGTCTTCTCTAAATATCAGTAATACTGATATAAATGCTAATACAGCTTTAAAACGATAGCAAATCAGAGCGACATGAAAAGGCAACAGTAGGCTAGCGTTAGCTACATGATAATAACTAACAGCATACGTAAACCATCCGAATAAAGTACCGTATCCAGACATAATATTTTAAAATAACCATTTGGAGATGTCCTGCTGGAGCCGCTGAGTTGCAACTTCTTCATCCGGATCAGATTCTGGGTCAAACTGAAATGCTTGAACTACTGCGTGTCTGCGTGCCATTGCAATATATCCAATGTAAACATGCATGCATGGTACCGTTGCAGCAAGATGGTCAAGGCCACACACCTTGCCCCGCCTTTCTCCTCCTCATTAGCATTTAAAGCTACAGACACCGAAACGGCACGTTTGAAGGAAAGCACATTTTGGGACTGGCTTGTAGTGGCTATAATTCTGTTCCCAGGCTGAATTTTGGGAAAAGGATTTCAGATACAGTACTAGGGACCACTAAGGCATATATCAAAGCATACAAAAAAAAGCATGTCATGGGACCTTTAGAAGAAAGTTGGAGATGTCCACATAATCTTGGATCCATAAAAAAAAAAAAAAAAAAAAAAAAAAAAAAAAACTATCCTATCTCATACCCCTGGTAATGACAGCATTTGTGATTTCAAAAGTTTGGAATTTTAGAGACATATTTATTGAGTCTAGAAAATTACCTTTAAACAAAATGGAGTGACCAATATTGTTGCTTTTTTAGACATACTTTTATCTTTGGACACCTTGTGCCCTATTTCCCCTTTCTTTGCCAGTGAACTCTGCATAGTCAATAATCTGTTTATGTTTTTACCACTATTTAGTTAATTTAATAACCCTTACTATGTCAAATCCAGCCCCAGTTTTAACTGATTGGTGAGTCAAGCTCCTACTTGTGTTAATGAACTTGCTTTCCTTCATTAAGATGTACAGTTGGGCTGGACTGGTACCTATCGAAAGCAGATTCAGAATGTTAGTTTAACAGAAAATACAAAGAACTGCAGTGAGAGCAGTGAATAATCAAAAAGAAAATCAAGTTAATATGATAATTAACAAAATTTTAAGTGTTGTTAGGGATTTACAGTTAAAGTCCCAAAACTAGATATGAATGAAGACCCGGAGTCAATAGTGCAGTTAATTGAAGAACATTTTTACTGAAGATAGTTTGTAGTTTCATCAGGCAGAAGTCTGCTTTAAGACTCACATGGAGTTCGTAGGCCGCTACCTTACAGTTACAAAAATCACAGCAATTATACCATACACCAAGGTCTAAGCTACGTCCTTGCTTCAGGTTGAATGATTCTCATTGGCTGAGACATAGATAAACAGTAATTTTCCACACATACAGATAGACTGAAGCATATCTCCATCGATTAGGCATCTGACACTCGGACCCTGAAGTTAGGCACGTTGTGGCCTTCCATTCTGTATCAAAATTTATAGGCAAGAAAAGTAGTTTGTTTAGGCTGGGTTGTATGAATTACAAACCTGCGCACATATTTTAAAAAGCACATAACTATAGAATCAATTCTGAATGAGCATGTTAACGCCGTCAGCGTTAATCACAGGTTCGCGTTTAAAGTCTGATAATTTCGACGGAGGTGAATCAATCAAAGTTAACTTTAGCTGGAAGTAACATTATTCAAGAACCGCTATAACGCCAAAACAATCTGTTACCTTAAATTATATGTTTATCTCTGTAAAGCTGCTTTGAAACATTCCATTGTTAAAAGCGCTACATAAATGAAGATGACTTGACTTGACTTCCAGGTCGCAGATTTGGGTTACTGGGCGCCAGCATGTCCCGAACAACAAGTCAGTCCATCTTCTATAACCAAAAAGACTAACACACACACACTGACTTCAAGGTTGGATTTGGCCAGGCTCTAACTATAAACAGGAGAGTATTCTCAAAACATCAAGATAATACGTTCTTTCTCTCAAGGAGAGAACACTTTAGTCTAACTGGAACATAAGGCTTTAACTGAGAAATGGTGCCTTAAATTATAGACTTCAATGACCATAGTTGTCAGGGTGCCCTAGAAAAGCAGATGGATTTATTGATATGTTAAAGAAGTCCATAATTAATTTCTGGAAGCCGGGCTAAATGAGCAAGCACTGTTACTGCATTCCTGGCATTTAAAGCCAGACCCTCGGTCACCTCTCAGATATTTCATACAGACTTTACAAAAAATGTTCTTTCTTGTATTCTTTCAATCACTTAGAGGAAATATTGGTCTTTCATTAATAACTTGATTGTCAACCATATATGTAAATGACTCATCAAATCACTCAAAAGGATATAGATATACTGAAGAGACAAGGCATTCCAGATTTCCCCTTCAGTGTCCTTCTGTGTTCTGTGTGGATCTTGTCAGTCAGTTGAACTTGTTGGGCAGTTGCATTGGGTCGTCAGCCTGTGATGGCACTCAAAGGCCTGGTGTTGAGATGTATGGGCTCCGTTGTTTCTCTGCCTCTCCTCCGTCTAGCTTTAGATCAATCCTATCCTTAGGAAAAATCTCAAATTAAAAAAAAAAGCAAAAGCAAATGAAAGTTTCACCTTTTCCTGAACTGAATGCTGACCCCTCATAATCGTCCACGTGAAGAACGCAAACCTGTAAACGCCCCCCATTACCTCAAAACAAAGCATCAAACTTCATCATTCCTCTGATTTTCAAGTTTGGAAGACACGCTGTGAGTTTACCCTGGATTTACCTCAGAAGAAGAATGCGATTTTAGAATAAGAACGATTTTTAAGGTAAGAAATCTATTCTCACTTATATTAGTTAGCGTGTTATTGTTGCATAAACTTCAAGTTGCACTAGTTGAACTGGTGCCAGACCTAAAATGTATGAAATCGATGGAAACATGTTGAAATATGAACTATAGACAGGTAGGCAACCTTTCAATGCTAAATAAATATACATGTACGGCACGAGGATGTTTTTATGCTTGATAATGTAAAACAGCATGATATAAAAGTAGGTTAGTGTGAGTGTTTACATTAACATGATGAATATTATAATGTTAAGACCAGTGTTTACTGTTAAATACCGTGTTCATGGATATATTCATAGGAATTCAATATAAAATTGTATTGTTTGTTTTTAAAGCTCTTTAACGGCCTCGCTCCATCTTACATATAAGACATGCTGACCATTCGTAATTATGGTGGGACGTTGAGGTCGTCCAATCAACTCATGTTGGAAGTGCCCAGGTCAAAACTTAAACACTGGGGAGACCGCGCTTTTTCAGTTTCTGGACCTAAGCTCTGGAATAAGCTCCCCAGTGAGATGCGTATTGTTACTGACCTGGGCCTTTTTAAATCAAGACTTAAAACGCATCTTTTTATAGTGGCTTTTAGTACCTAGTAGTGTGGTGGCACGTTTATATTGATTTTTATTTTTATCTATTTTTCTTACGTTTCTTTCTTTTATTGTTGTACTTGTGTTTTTGGTGTATTGTTGTTCTAAATTGTTGTTTAATTTGTTGTAAAGCACTTTGGTTCACCTATCGGTCGATGTAAGGTGCTATATAAATAAAGTACATTTACATATAAGCTCAAACGTAGAGGTTTATAATGCGCTAACAATAATGTTTCATAGTGAGAAGCGGCTCGATCGCTTCAGTAAATGTTCTCTGAAAGTGCTGTGAGTTTGGGTCTCACGCTGTGCATTTGAATGCGTGAAACATTAGGCTACATGTTTTTACTCCAATCTCATTTCATAAGTTTGTGCTGGATACAGCCATGAAAATGTTACAAGTAACAGAAATGAGCACAAATGTCAGAGCATGTCAGAACAAACCAAAATCTTACAATCTCTGCAATGGATCAGTTTTTTCATACCGTCCATATGAAACGGTATTTGTTCATAAGCAAGCTTGTCACAGTTGTGAAGTCTGCATAAAATATTTGACTACTGAAGAAAGAGTCTATACCATCACTGAAACTGTCCAGGTATACATTTATTAAAAACTGCAGAGTATAAATCACAACACTTTTTACATAATCTGTACACAGACATGTCAAATGCCAATTAGTGTTGATTTTGTAATTTTTTTTTAAAAATAGCTCATTGTCTCCTATTGGAATGTAGTGCTGGATGCTGGTTTTGCACATAAGATCCCCAGAACAGATATGGTACTGTATAATTAACAAGACTTCTCAATCTTTTTTTTTTTTTTTTAAAATCTTTTTTGAGGTGCTCCAACAGCAAGATTTTAATTTTACTTTAAATTACAATTATACAGATCCATTACATAGATCCATACAAAAGAAACAATGTACACCCAAATTAAATGAAACAAATGTTCTTGTTGTCTTTCCTCATTTCAATAAGCCATCATTGCCTTAAAAAGGCCTTTCAGACCGGATACTGTACTACACACAAGAGGCTCAATGAAGTGAGGGTGTGGTAAAGCTGTGGTTCCCTCAGCAATGGTCACGGTCAGGAGAGAATAGAGCGATCAGACCTGCATCATCAGTGTTCTCCAGCATATCTTTCGTAGGCTTTGGCTTCTTAAACAGAGATGGAAGGTTGCGGATGTGTACTTCCTTCTTGAACTGCTGTCCTAGGGGTTTCTAACAGCACACACACAAATGGACCAATTGATTAAAATGTTGACATTTTATTGACAATATTTAATCAGATGAAATTGCATATAATAAATCAAAGATATCATCATTGGAGCAGACCAGGAACCAGGATATTGAAACACAAAAAAAGTGTTCATATTTTGCATTTATTTTATTTGAACTGTATAAATGATTAGAGCTGAGTGATACAGGTTAACATCATCAGGGTTCAAGTGGATGATTAGGTGATTCTTTCATTTTTCCCCATAGGGATTTAAAAAAAATATTTAAGTATTTTGAGAGCGTAGGGAGATCGACTTCATGGGAGTGGTGCTTTTGGCGTGATTTGCTCTCTGCAACTCTGATTGCTGGAATTTTGAGTACAGCATCATGGGTAATGTAGTTTTCACAATGAATTCCACTGTAAAACACAATTATTAGTGGAAATAATGCAAACTGAATGGATACAAAAACCATAAACCATTGATTAAGAACCTTTGGAGCTCACGACAGATCGGCCTTTAAAGTTTTATAACTTATTGTTAATCAATTTCCCTACAGAGAAAAGTAGCTTATTGCTGTATTCTTGCTAGGGATGTTCTGGGTGGTTGCATAAAGGCCCAATAAAAGCAGCCCACTCCCACCTTCATGTTGTTTTGGATCACATTGGCCCTGTTTACACCTGGTATTAAGATGCGTTTTGGTCGAACGGATCACAAGTAGACACATTCCAGTTTACACCCAATGTTTTAATCCATCTCTTTTCACCACTTTCAACCACTTCTGTCTTGATTTCTTGGAGGGGAGAGTCTATGGTTGGGTAAATGTGTGGGCTTTTTCGGATCTTTTGATCTAATGTCAAATCACCTTTATTTATATAGCGCTTTTTACAATACAGATTGTTTCAAAGCAGCTTTACAGTGATAACAGGAAAATAATGCAACAAAGTTTGTTTCCAGAAGAAAATATCATCACAGTCCAGCTTCAGTTAGTTCAGTGATGGTTAATTATATATATATATATATATATATATATAGCTAGCCACTCTGGAGAAAACCGTGATGCTTCTCCAAACATTTGTGAAAGAATGGGTTGCTCTCAGGAGCTCAGTGAATTCAGGCATGGTACCGTGATAGGTTGCCACCTGTGCAATAAGTCCATTTGTGAAATTTCCTCACTACTAAATATTCCACGGTCAACTGTTAGTGGTATTATGACAAAGTGGAACCAATTGGGAACAACAGCAACTCAGCCACGAAGTGGTAGGTCACATAAAATCACAAAGTGGGGTCATAAATAGCTACAGACCTACGAACTTCGTGTGGCCTACAGATTAGCTCAAGAACAGTGCGTAGAGAGCTTCATAGAGTGGGTTTCCATGGCCGAGCAGCTTCATCCAAGCCTTACATCACCAAGTGCAATGCAAAGCATTGGATGCAGTGGTGTAAGGCACGCCTCCACTGGACTCTAGAGCAGTGGAGACGTGTTCTCTGGAGGACAAATCACACTTCTCTGTCTGGCAATTCGATGGACGAGTCTGGGTTTGGTGGTTCCCAGGAGAACGGTAATTGCCTGACTGCATTGTGCCAAGTGTAAAGTTTGGTGGAGGGGGCATTATGGTGTGGGGCTTGGCCCCTTAGTTCCAGTGAAAGGAACTCTTAATGCTTCAGCATACCAAGACATTTTGGACAATTTCTTGCTCCCAACTTTGTGGGAACAGCCTGGGGATGTCCGCTTTCAGTTCCAACATGACTGCGCACCAGTGCACAAAGCAAGGTCCATAAAGACATGGATGAGCGGGTTTGACGTGGAGGAACTTGACTGGACTGCACAGAGTCCTGACCTCAACCCGATAGAACACCTTTGGGATGAATTAGAGCACGAGCCAGTCTTTCGGTCAACATCAGTGCCTGACTTTACAAATGCGCTTTCTCTAATAGAATGGTAAACAATTCCCATAAACACCTCCTAAACCTTGTGGAAAGCCTTCCTAGAAGAGGCGAAGCTGTTATAGCTGTAAAAGGTGGGCCAACTCCATATTAAATCCTACGGATCAGGAATGGGATGTCATTAAAGTTCATGTGCATGTAAAGGCAGACCATAGGCTTGTTCCAGTCTGGATATTCTCCATAGTACACCTCATAATTGCGAAGATCGAGATTCAGATCGTGATTGTCTGTTATAAGATCATGATATGAAATTTTGGGAAGATCGCCCACTCCCATGACCCCATGGGGATTAAATTCTTCTATTTCTGTGATGTTTTGGATGGGAAGAACACTCAGACAGTATTTCCAAAGACAATGATAATCTCAGGTATTGATTATGTGCTTAGTTTAATTTAAGTTTGAATATAATAGAGCATGTCTGCAATAGCCATAATGAAAGTGGCAAGATATTATATATTTCTTGAATTCATCTTGAAATCAAATTCTTTGTGAACAAACAAGTGTATTCCATGACTTTTTTCTAACATTGAGCATGCAATTTTAAAAATGTTAAAAGTGTCCATACCCCAACAGTGCCTGCAATGAGACGTTTAAACTGCTCTTTCTTTTTCTTCTCTCCTGCCTTTGATACAGCGGGTTGGATGGCCTTCTGATCAAACTGCTCCAGGGCATCAACTTGGATATCAGGGATCTGATTCATGATGAGACGCAGCTCAGCGTATCGAGGCCTCTGTAGAGAAATATCAGAATGAAAATTAATTACATTTTCTCAACGTTGCATTCAGTCACTACTATGGTCATTTAAAGGTGCATTCAGTAGTAATTAAACTAGTGTTAACATCACTGTTCTTTGTGTACTTGAAGTACCAATAATACAGTGGTGTTAGACACTGCACTGCCATCTACGTGGATCAGCATGATCGTCACTGACTTTTATGAAAATTAAACTGATAATAGTTATAGAGAGTGTCACTGAGAGTTCAATGATCATTTTAACATGGAGAAATATGTTTGGTTATACCATCTGGATGCTCAAATGGTGAATGCACAGCTTATTGTACACGCAAGTTAATCACCGTTCTAAACTAATGCACTGCTGCATTGTAACGCACACACATACAGACAGTAGCCCGCACATTACACACAGATCGCACACACAGAAACATTCAATTGCGCAGAAATGTATTGTCAACACTGTTCTGTGATTTAACAAGAAAATAGCTTAGAAACTGAAAAGTTTTAGCATATATTTCTTAGTAACTAAAACCCACAGCTTCACTATTAGAGAGACTCTGCCAGCTAGAATTAATTTACACGCAAATGGTCTCTCACAAATGGTCTCACACTCATATAAATGTAATCTTTACTGTGACACTTTATCTATATATGATTTAGAACGAGCAGAAATCTAAGAGAAATATAACGACCCAAAGACAAAAGAACTGATAAAAATAAGCTGTTATGTAGGAGCAATAGCCTTGTGGACAGCAATGTGTCAGATGCCATAGCTGTGCACAAGGCAACCCGCGTTTGAGTCTCAGCTCGAGGGTTATTTGTTCATTAATGACGTCATCAGCGACTAGTCAACTTTAATCTCATAAATGCCAACTTAAAAAAATTTGATATCCAGCAGGTTAGCTGCTTTGGCCACTGGAGTAACATTGGCAAAAAGGATATACTTTTTACAGTGGTGCAGCATTAATATATGTACAAATGTGCTTCCCATACTGAAAAACATGCAAGCTATGATAGCTGAGCTGAAATGACGCACTAGAGCCTCGTAGATGAGCAAGGCCAGATGAGTTAGTGCAGCATTGCAGCCTTCGTGTTGCCCATGCATCTGCAGACCCTTCAGTACACTGGCGAAGAGCCACGTCACAGCCTCCGGAAGCAGGTTACCACCAAGCACCTGCACAAGAATTCATTCACATACACACACACATAGTATTTTCACAAGGCAAAGGATTCAAATATAAAATAGCTGGCATCTTTAGAATTCAATTCTAATCTCATTTGCAGACTGATATAAATATTGTGATGAATTATGAATGTTTTAAAGGGATAGTTTACCCTAAAATGAAAATTCTGTCATCATTTACCCACCCGTGTTTCAAAACTGTATGAATGCTGAACACAAAAGAAGATATTTGGAAGAATATGTGTAACCAAACAGGCCCAGGGAACTATTGAGGGACCTGGGCCTGTTTGGTTACCCATGTTCGTCAAAATACCTTCAGAAGAAATACATTTATACAGGTTCGGAACAACTTGAGGGCGAGTAAATGATAACAGAATTTTCACTTTTGGGTGAACTATCCCTTTATGAGAGACAGGAAAAATCAGCACCTGTTTTAGTAAAGTCCAGCAGAGCAAACCAGCAGTCCGTTGACAATTTACAGTGTCCTTCCAGGAAAGGGAGTTAAAACATATAGTCAGGAGGTTCATATAAATATCCTGAAAAGGAAGGGAGAAAAAAAATGACTCTGATATCAGAGGTCAGATATAGAAGCCAACTGATGGAGCCCACAAATAAATGTTTAGTTACCTCACTTCGGAGAAGGCACTTGCCCAATTCTGAGAGCTCATCTGTAGGTGTATTTATTTGAATGCCCTGTGAGGAATCCATTGACACCATCTCCTCATCTCCTAAACAGAAGATGAAAGTATTTTTAAGATCTGCTGATCCTATGTCTTGACAACATCACATAAAAAACTAAGGTTATTCATTACAGTGAGATGGTCTTTCTGCTGAGCCTTAGGCCTGTCGCACCTCCAACGGTGCCTGTGGTAGACTGTGCATGGCAGGGGTGTCTTCTTCCCTGAGGCAGGCCTAAACCTGACTGCATACCGCACGGTTTTGCTGCAGGGTCTTCAGCTGGGCCCAGAACATCTCCTGGTGGCGGGGCAGTGAACAGGGACGTCTCCCTGGCACCCCCTGCAGCAAAACCTAACGCCGCCTTCACACTGGCAGTTGAAATCAGCTCCGGTACGGCTCCGAAATGACCGGAAGTCATTCATTTCCTATGGAGATTCGCAGACCGCATGCGAATGAGTCCGAAACGGGTCCGACCGAGTGCGGTGCGAAGAAAATCGTGTCCGTTGGTCATCCGGATGCGTTCAAAAAATTGAACTCTTGCGAAAAGCTACGGACGGTTCCTATCCGACAATTCCAGCGGAAGTTAGCGTTGCTATGATACTGATAAACAAACCTGAATTCTTACCTTTTAATAAAATAAATAAAGATTTTATAACGATAAGTTGTCTTGTCATTTTTTATTTTCATGATTTTCTAACGTTATTAGGGTAGTTAATACAATTAAATTGTAGGCAGACATCGAACTAAATGTGATAGTGGTATAAATTATACCACTATATCACATTTTTTAGCCGACCTGACACGTCAACGTCCTGAGCAACTTTCCTCACGCAGCAGCCTTCCTATTAATATCTCTATAACCCTCATCAGAGAGATCATACAGAACTGACAGAATCAACCTTTCTAATCTCTGTTCTACCCGCTTCCAACAGCTTTTACTGTGTAGTACGACGTCTGTTGGGTCCGTATTGCGTATTACGGAGCTGATTTCATCTGCCAGTGTGAAGGCGGCGTAATTGGATGTGACTCCCCAAGCCTTTTCTTGTCGTTTCAGCCAGAGCCAGTGGCTTGCTTTCTCAGCTTACTCAGAGAGCTCTTTGGTGGATCTACTCTATGTGGCTCTCCTCAGTCCAAGGTCCTTGAGCAGACGTGATGTTGATCTGCCCACAAAGCCTCTGGCTCCCACCTCCACCGGGTACAGCCTCACACTACATCCACTTTCTCTGCACTCTGCGACCAGGTCTGCATACTTCGCCTTCTTTCTCTCGTAGGCAGCTTCCAGTCCCTCCTCCCATGGCACTGTCAGCTCGATCAGCATCGCTGACTTCACAGCTGCAGACCACAGCACCACGTCTGGTCTTAAGGTAGTGCTGCATATCTCCTGTGGGAACTGGAGCTGTCTTCCCAGGTCTACTTCCATCTTCCACACCACCCCTGGTGTTAGCAGCTTGGCGGGTGGTCTCTTGCTGGTATGCATTGCAGTTTCCCTAATGAGGAAACGGAGCCGAGCCTGTGGCAGTTTCCAGAACTGTGCCCAGCTGATTGCTCGGCTCGCGACTCCCTCCCAAGTTGTCCATCGCCCCTGCTGCCCCATGTGCCACAGACCTCACTCTGAGCTCCTCCTGCTCAATCCTGGTGACCTCTGCAACAACAAGGTCCTTCCTCTCCTTCCTGGTTGGAGGATGGAGAGGAAGGATGGGTGGCTTGCTCCATCCGAGGCCTGCCCGCCCTGTCTGGACCATGCCCACAACTTGTTGATGTTGCAGTCTTCCTATCACCTTCTGCACCTCCTGCTTAGCTCTCCATTTCCTTCCAGTCTCAACTCTGGCATTTGCACAGCCACTGCCCTGTCAGAGGAGTCCCTTAATTCCATCACCAACCTTGCCTTCTCCTGCCTGTAGCCCAGGGTGATGGATTTCAGGGGTAGCTTGAGTGAGTTCCATCCATACAGACTAGTAGCTGAGAAGCACCGTGGTAGGCCGAGCCATTTGCGGATGAAGGACTTGGCTTTTGCCTCCATCCAGCTTACGGAGGATGAGGTAACTTCGCACAGCTTCAGAGGCCACATCACCCTTGGGTACAAGGTGAAGTGATAACACAACATCTTTTACTTCCCAGGTAGCTGGCTTGCGTCGATGTTGGACAGCCCTTCTGACAGCTGCCGAAGGATGATTTTCCCCATATTCTTGTCTGAGAGACCAGATGTATAAAGTCTTCCCAGGCTTTGGATGGGTTGATCCACGTTGTTGCCAGCCAGTGGTGACTTTCTTCAGTGCAAAGCACATGTGCATGTCCTGGAAGTAGTTCATGATCATGGTCCTGATGTTGTCCAGGATGTAGAAGAATTCCAAAGCGTAGTCTATTAGCTGGTGTGGCACTGACCCATAGGCATTGGCTAGGTCCAGCCATATGACGTGCAGATCTTTCTTCTCCCTCTTGGTGGTCTGGATCTGTTCCCAAATCATAGAAGCATGCTCTACACAACCAGGGAAAACGGGAATCCCAGTTTTCTGGCAGCTGGTATTGATATAATTGTTTTCCGTGAGGTACGTGGTCATTCTTCTTGCCATCACGGAGAAGATTTTCCCCTCCACATTCAGTAGAGCTATGCTTCTGAACTGCTCGATGGTCTTAGCGTTCTGTTGTTTGGGAATAGAGACTACCACTGCCCTCTGCACTCAGATGGTATGGATCACCTGCCTGACCTCGCTGAGCTTGAGTGATGATGCGTCAAACAGGGCTGATGGTTATGAGGGTCTAGACACATACCCTGGGGAGCCTAGGGGGTTGTTCCTTGCTGGATCACTGTACTGAGTGTGGATGTGCTCCTGCAGTTCTTCTTTGGAGATATCCAGTGTTCCACTTGTCTTTTCCTCAAGGAGCCCACGTGCATGCCGGAATGGATTCCTGAAGAAACTTGATCTTTCCTTCTACCTTTTCCTCCATCTTCTGATGCGTTCTGCCCTCCGGAGGTTAGCAAGGCGTCTTATGATCTCATCCCAGAGAGCTTTCAGGCCCTCCTTCTCAGACTCCTCTGCCTTCCTCCAACGCTTGCGGAGCTGCCTTCTGCTTGCCACCAGGTCATCGATCTCTTTCTCCCTCCTGCCCTTTGATCTTATTGTGGGTTCTCTGATGGTCACCTCATCATACCTGTAACTGCATTCTTCATACAGGATTTCCCCGAACAGATTTAGCTTGGCTACCACTGACCCGCACAGAGCTTTTTGCAGCAGCCCGCTCAGATGTTCGTCCAGCTTTCTCCACTCCTCGACCTTGTTGGCCTTTAGCCACTTCATCTTGTTCCTTGAGGAGTGGGTTCTTCAGGTTCCTGGCCCTTTGGCTCGACTCTGTTTTTGGGTCACTTGGGAGTGCTACTGGGTTAACTTCTTGGGGTTCATCAGCATCCCTTTCTTCCTTTCCTCCTGTTCTACCTCTGCAACATTGGGCCTGTTGGCACTGTGGTTGTCAACCCGGCCTTGGATCCCATTTGTCTGACCTGCCCTTACCGGAGCAGTGCAAGGTTGCATCAGGCTACCACCACCACACTTCTTCTTTCCCATGTGGATGTGAAGTGAAGTCCCCTCAAAGTTGTTGTTTTTTCCCAGCTACACCCACACTTCCTTGGAATCTTCTCTTTTACCGATATCCTTTCGTTCTTGTACCTTTTACCTTCTCTTTTACCGATATCCTTGAAGTATATTGCATTTAGCATTTAAGGTGAAGTTGATGACATCAGATGAATGATTCTGTTAAGCAAAGATTTTAGCAAGATGTTTCTGCCAGTTCCTCTTCTCTTTATTGCAAGTCAAATGAGCCAGATTAATGAAACTCTCACCTTTTGTCTTTAATGGCTCTTGGAGCCCCTGCCTAATTCGTTGAATAGTTATGCTGATTGAATTAGGACTGGTTATACTCTAGAGTCTGGGGCAGGTTCCTATACCTGGATCCTTTATTTGCATGTTTTGTTTAAGGTCGTCACCCAGGTGCTTTGTCTCCATTTCTAAGCACTGCCCCCTAAAATCTATATAAACTACAATGTATCACTGCCTTAGTTGGCCTTGATGACTGCAGCTACGAAACAGCACATTCTCAATAAAGAATCTTGTTGAAGATGCATCCAAGTCTCCTGGTCTTCGCTTCTGAATTTCCAACACATCACAGTACTCAGTAGGCTTTTAAACTATTAGTTAAGTCTGAAACACTGCATTGTTCATATGAAGAAAAAAAATGGTAATGCGACCGCTGAGTTCGGTTGCACTGGAACTGTGGAACGATGCACATGAAAGCAACTCACACTCTGGTCCATACTTGTTCAGAAAGTAAAGTATGTTTCAGACGTTATTACTTCCAAAACACACATACAAGCGTGAGTGAGTGTGCAGTAATCAGAGTTGAAAATCTAATGCTCACAATCAGATGTATCCTGTAAGCAGCAGAAGCCACCTTCAACGTGATGCACAGTGTTGTTTACTCTGCAGCACATAATAGTACCAAATTACTGAATAAATAGGCTACTTTGTTTTGCTAAGAGCTCATTTTGTAGCTCTCTGAGATGTGTTTTGGTTGTAAGAGAGACTACCCTGGATCGTGATTTCAGACAAATACATTTTATTTAAGTTTTACCATTGAGTGGTCAGACTTTAATTTAATTGGTGGATTTCCACATGATACATGGAGAATGTGATCATTAACTCACCATCTGCATCCTCTTTGTTTGCAGATAACTCTGGACATTTTCTTGTAATGCAAGTCACACCTGAAAACACATTTACAAAGTTGTTATTTTGTATAAAAAGTGAAGCAAACTTGAAAGGCTTCACATGCATTAGGGAAACTCACTTAGAAGGTCAATGACCTCTCGCGTGACCAACCGCAACAGCTGCTCCTCCACCATTTCCTGAGTCACATGGTTCTCCTCATAGGCCTCCTCCTCCTCCTGAGCACTAAAACATGAATAACAACCATATTAATAATCATGTTGACTTGACAAAGCCAACACAAAGATATTCTATTTAAACTTACAACATCAGCATGTTGCCATTCTCACGCCAATATAATAATAATTTTATTTAAATGTATTATGTTGGTTTAAGAAAGCTACCATACTGAACAGGTGCATGATGTTTAATCTTTGAAGGTCTAAATGCAGTGAATTTTGGATTGTACTTCTGTAACCAAAGCTTACTAATGCTGTATTTAAACATATTATGTTGGCTTAGGAAAGCTAACATACTGATGTTGAATTTAAACATTATTATTATGTTGGCTTGACAACGCAAACATACTATTCTACTATTTAGAGTCACAATGAAACAGAAGTAGTGACAGATCTTCTGTATTGTGACAAACATCCGTGTGAAACAGATTACCGAAAGAAAGAACAAGAGTTTAAAAAAACTTGACTCTGTGCCTCTGTTGTGTATTGGATTTTGAAATGTGCAAAATGTTCATTTTAACAGACAAGAAAACTGAATATTTGTCAAATTTTAATGATGTTTTGGAAACTTTTGGCACTATTTTGACTAGGGCTGTCAAAATGAACGCATTAGAAATATCAGTATAAAGCGTTAAAAAATATTTAACAAATTAATGCAGCATCCGTTTTTCCAGTCATCCTTTTTCTAGTGTTACAATATATGACGACACTCTTAGTCATGCAGGTGCTTTTAAACCATTCAAGCGTGATAAGACAAAAGAGAACGTGGGCACCTGTGAATCTCCTGTCTGTGTGACACACAACTTGTGCCCCTTCAGACAGCGCTTGAATGGATGAAAACACACAAAATTATGCCAAAATGCCCGTTTTGACCAGTATCCACGCAAGCAGTCTTAAATTAGTTTAATGAAGTCTTAAATGAACAAAGAGTTGTGAGAAAATTGGATGTGCGTCAGATCCACGTCATGTGCGGCAGGGCTTAAAGTGACAGCAGCCTAATAAACCAGCTGCTGTCTGTCATTAAGGACAATCAAAGAACAAATGAAAAAGAAAAAAACACTCACTGCTCTTGACTGAATAACTTTTATAGTTTTAAAAAGTATTAATTTATAATTTATGCAGTGAAGACTGAAGTGTTTACAAGGGTCAAAAGCAATGAAAAACAAACTGTAAAGCAACGGCACAAGAAACAGCTACAAAAGACTTGAAGTACAGAGACAAGCGACATGCAGCTACAAAGTCACTGGTGGTGTGAATGGGGCTTCAGTCAGGGCTTCTGGAGAATAGAGACTCGTGTCAGTCTCATGCAACTGCAGCTTCTCTCTTTCAATCTCAACCACACACACCCGAGGCAGGGGTATCACACAAAACGTGTGAGAAGAAAGCGGTGTTTAAAGAACTGTAAAAGGCCAGAACTGTACACAAAAATGTTGTATTATCCAACACTAAAATATTTTACATAATACATATATATTTAAAATATTTTACCTCAGACTGGTCCTTTGGTTGATGATCTGCCACCGAAAGCTCAGTCTCTGTTTTCAATCAAATAAATAAAAAAATAGGAGATAGCATTAGGCAAATCCTGTGCTACAAGCAATACTGGTTGCTTCACTATACCCAAAATTACTGAATGATGTAAAACAACAGTGAAGTGTCTGTGCAACCTTCAAACTTCGATATTGAAAACAGAATGATATCTTAATATTTTATGGGATTTTGTTGATATTTGGATGATATTTAGTGTGTTTTTGTGCTAGAATCTTGGCTGGTTTAAGCCTGTCATGGAAAGCTGATACCCAAAAATATTTTTTCTAGCAATGGTTAGTTTCACAGCAGCTCCAAATGAATGGAAATTAACTTTTCTATTAAGGGACGATTCTGCTCCCTTAAATTCTTTCCAGGAGCACCTTTATACCATTATAAAGGCAATTGTTCTTAACCTTATTAGAAGTATACATAAATTCACTTTTAATTAAAGGGATAGTTCACCCAAAAATGAAAATTCTGTCAGTAATTACTCACCCTCATGTTGTTGAATAACTTGTAAGACTTTCGTTCATCTTCGGAACACAAATTAATATATTTTTTATTAAATCTGAGAGCTGGTTCACCAGAAAAGTTATTAAAGACATCGTTAAAATAGTCCGAGTGACTACAGTGGCTCAATCTTAAGTTTATCAAGCGACGAGAACACTTTTTGTGCGCAAAAAACACCAAAAATAACGACTATATTCAACTATTAATTTCCTTCTCTGTGGGCCTTAAATGAGTTCACGTAGTGTAACGGCGCAGCGCTTCTGTGTTGTACGTCACACGTAGGCTCACTATTGGCTGACGCTGGTCATGTGTGTGATGCGTGTGACGTACAACACACAATCGCTGCGCTGTTACACTACGTGAACTAACTCGAGGCCCACAGAGAAGGAAATGAATAGTTGAATAAAGTCGTTATTATGGGGGGTTTTTGCGCACAAAAAGTATTCTCGTCGCTTGATAAACTTTAGGTTGAGCCACTGTAGTCACTCGGACTATTTTAACGATGTCTTTAATAACTTTTCTGGGCCGGCAAGTTTCAATTCCATAGAAGCCTATGGAGGAGTGAGACAGCTCTCAGATTTAATCAAAAATATCTTAATCTGTGTTCCGAAGATGAACGAAAGTCTTACGGGCTTGGAACAACATGAGGGAGAGTAATTACTGACATTACTGATTTTTGGGTGAACTAATAACCCTTTAATAAATTAAAAGAGACATAGTGCTATTACCAATCAAATGAAATCAGCATCAACAAAACATCTTTGCACAGCAGAGGCGGCACAGAATATCAGTATTTAAATGAGGCATTTATTGGGTGTGATGTGAAGTTTACCTGCTGTAGATAGGCAAATAATGGACCCAGCAAGGGACAGAGGAGGCTGTCATAGTACTCACGAGGACAGGACAAGACCAGCTGCTTCATGAAGAGACGTGAAAGACATTAAGGAAAACAACAAAAACAAACTGTACCCTAAAGCACTTCATTCATGAGTCAATGACAATTAGCATCATCTACATTTGATAAAAAGGATCCGTGTAAATAATGGCGAACTAATCTTGTGCCATCCAGGGATGTTTAAATCATGGCAATAATATGCAACTATGCATGTCAAATACTTCTCATTCTTTCTTATAGAGTGTGTTTGATTTAGTTTATACCTAGATGTTAGTTAGTGCATTAACTATTAAACATGTAGTTACGCTGGTCGTTATCCATGTATGAATCTAGTCAGTAGTAGTTAAGGTTAGTTCTTTATTCATTCTTGATCATAAGCTCATGGTGATCTATTAATTTAGGTATTAAGATGATTATTTAGATAGCATTATTATTACGTGTTACTGGCAGATGTTACTGACTTTTTAAAAGAGCTACATGATTCTGGATAAATCGAGAATCACAATTTGTTTTGTTTGAAATAGAAATCACGATTCTCCCACAATTCTGAACAGACAATTAAACAAAATAACATGTCATTTATCAGAGGTTCTGACAAAATGTTAATTGCTGTGGTCGCTTTCAGTTAGGAATGAGATTGTGTGGGTGTTTGAATCTAAATCGCAATCTTTTACTAATTAACCCTGCAGCTCTACTTTTTAGTAGAAGTTTATATAACTAATAGCAAAAAAATACATGTATATGATAAAAAGGATATGGACTAGGGGACGGAGCCTGTGGTCTGGAACACTGTCTAGATGGATGAAGGCCGAACCAACAATCTGCTCTGCCAAGCCCTCTATAGCATAAAAGTCTTGTTGCAAGCAGGGACCAGTATTCCCAAGCAGTTGGTAACTTTAAAAAGAAAAACAGAAAAGGGTAAACAGGATCAGGGAAAGTGAGAATACACCATTGGAGAAGAGTTTTTTTTATTAAACCAAGAAACAAAAAAGAAAAATTAATCTTTGTTCCAACCAGTTTTCGTAGAGTGAGGAGAAGAAGCCTTGCATGCGCTCATCAATGTTTCTGTACACTGGGGAGTCGTAGGAATCTAAAACTTGTTGAGGAATTCCTGTAGGAAACAAGAAGAGTCATTTCTTTAAAGTCCCTGTAAAGTCAAAATTAAGTATGTGTTCTGAGTTTGTCACACCACAGAAAAATGTGTTATTAGCCACCCAGCCAAATTTGAATGATAAAAAAAGCCGGCAAGTACATAAAATAAGCTATCAAAATCTTGAAAAAATGAGCATTATTCTCTGCTCTCAAACGCTGGGGGCGTGTCCACTGGCTGCGCTGAAACCACGCCCACTCGCGGGAAAGCTTCCGACGGTGATATTAGTGATACTGCTTTCGGGACGGGGAGATGAAGGCCGAGGCGGGAGATAGTCGGTTCGGCCCCATTCACCAGTAACAGCGGATTATTAGTGAATCCCAGTTGTCTCCGACCAAAGTTTATAAAACTATCCCGTGTAAAATGATCACTACAGAGGCGGGTGTTGGTTGTGATCCTCAGCTCTCCATCAAGGTTGGCTCTTCACAAAATTAATCCACTTCTTCTTGATGTGATCGTTTTTAGGAAATTTAAATAAAGACACCGATCTGTTTTGTACATGATCGCATCCAGGTAGCCTACGCATTTCCGTGTCGAAGGCATAGCTAGCTAGCAAACTGCAGGCTGTAGTAACGGTAGTAACTAATAGTACTGACAGTGACTCGCGATTGAGCGCCAAACTGATGTGAATGTGCTCTATTGTTAGGGGAGGGGCCAGCCTCAGTGGCCTCAGTGCGTCATCAAGTAGGGCCGTGTCCAGGAGCTCATGGGCTCCAGTGCGTCATCGAGCCCCATTTTAGCCCCGCCCAAAAAATCCGGAAAATAGCAATGGTGAAAAACTGTTTAACGGTCTAACTCCACAATTCAGTACTTCACAGTTCAGTCTTTGTAATATGTTTTAGCAATACATTTCTAACAATGTGTTTAGAATTTTTTTTTAGAATTGCCTTTACAGGGACTTTAACATAACCAGGGTTTGGTGTTTAAAAGACGATTAATATTCAGCAATACCATCGATTCAACTGCACTGACACTAGTAGATAAGAACAAAATCTGAATAATAATATTCAGTCTTGTGTAGAGCTGCTTTTACCTGAATTGAACTTGTTTCATAATTGATTAAAGAGATGGTTCACCCAAAAATAAAAATTGTGTCATCATTTACTCACCCTCATGTCGTTCCAAACCCGTACGACTTACTTTCATCTTCAGAAAACAAATGAAGATCGAATTTAAATTTTTGGGTGAACGATCCCTTTAACTTTGCAGCACTGACACTTTTACTGAACTAAATTAACACTGAACTGACTTGAGCTGAATAATTGTCATCTGTAGAGCTGCTTTACAGCGGATTTGAACTTGTTTTATAATTGATGAAATCTGCAACAGTAACTGTTATCTTTATGATGAGACCTGAATTATGATGTTTGTATCAGGACAGGACAAATTAGAAACCTACCTAAAACGGAATTCTTATCCATATCCATAATATCATAGACTCTAGTAAAGGTCTTGCTAAGCCGGTTGACGTTCTCTGGCAAGAACAAGCTGTTGTGGGTCCTGAAAGGATGAAGAACATGAAACTACTCCAAACACTGTTACAATAGCAGAAAAACAGTACATATACACAAGCTAATCATGACTATTTTCACATATCTAATGTCTTATTTTGGAAGCAAAATTTCTAGAAATGACCTAATGTACCTGATGAGGGCCAAAAGGTTGGGCAGAAGGGCCTGCACAGGCTCTGCACAAGGGTTTCTGTAGATGGGGGTCCCATCAGAGGTAGTGCTGATCACAAAGCCGCCTGCTTTTGCCTCCTCAGGATCAGCAGGCCAACGAGCACGCTTCACAACGCCAAGTATGGTGTATACACACAAACTAATCTGCCATAAAAGACACAAGCCAATCAAAGCCACTCATATTCACATCTATTAGACCAGTGTTTCCCAACCCTGTTCCTGGAGGCACGCCAACACTACTAATTTTTTAACTCTTCCTAATTAAACACATCTAATTCAACTCATCAGTTCATTAGAAGAGTCTCCAAGACCAGAATGAATGGGTAAGATTAAGCGTGCTCTAATCAGGATTTTTGGGGTCGATCACCGATTACTGGAAGCAGAAGTAGCCGATATGATCACCGATACCACTCACTCACTCACTGAAATAAAACAATACTATTCTATACTATTCTTAACAACAATGTTTTTTAATTATAAAAAAAGAGATGAGGAGATGAGAAAGTATAATGAATTGACAACTCCTTATTTATTGGAAAGCAACATGTGCAACACACCGTATTCCATTCGTTATCTTAGAGGTGATTAGTAACAGCTTAGAGCTTAACAAATACAGCATTATAGCAATAAATAATAACAAATAAAAAACAGAATTTTTCAGAATCAACAGAAAGTAATCAATATAAATCTGCCTGCCTCTATGGAAATTTAACATGGGGTGTCCTGACTTATGCCCCCTGTATTTTAAGGGAGAACATTTATTTACGATACATTACTCATTCACAAAGAAGATTGGTGTCCTTAGAGGGTGGATTTTTCCTATTTTTTATAATTAAGGCATTAAGATTAATTACCAAAAGATGATCTTTTTATTCCTCTTTTTAGTCAACTTTAGCATGGATGTATTCACTTATGCTTAGCACTGTACATGCTCACAGTGTCTCGTTCACAGTAAATGAACCAAGCTGCTCTGAGACACTAAAATACAGTGTTTCATGAACTACATGTGTAAATGATGCGTTTCACTCTGAATCTGATAGCACATATATTCCCTTAATTAAATGAAAGCCTGAGCAATATGATAATAACACTAAGCCATAAAGCAATATTCATCTAATTTCAATATATCATGCATCCCTAGGGCACACCTACCCGTGACCTGTTGATACCCATCTGGTCCTCTTTGTCAGGGTCACTGACCACCTGATCAGCACCAACATATGCCAAGAAGGTAGCAGGATCCCATAACACGCTACACAACACAGAAATAAAAGAAGAATCACACATCATTCATTCATTTCAACCTCTGTTTAATAAACTCAGTAAAGGCCAGTTTGGGTAACAGCATCCATTCATACCTCCTCATCTCCTCTGACAGCCACTGGGCAGTAACAGGTGCCATGAGTTCCTCCAGGAAAGCTTTCTGCTTGTTATAGTCTTTAAACTGATTGCTGATCAGTATCAGGGCTTCTATAAGAGCACACTTCTCCATCTGTGTCAGCAGCATCTCATTTGAGAACAACCTCTTCACATGCTCATACATCATGTCGAAGCATGGCTGCAATGCATGGAAAATAATCTATTATAGTTAGCGCTTATATCAAAAGAGAATGCTAATATCACAATTTCTTAAGACTGACATCAAACTGACTGACATCCTTTACCAAACTGAAAATTATCCTTTTTTTTAAAATCATTTTCCAGCATTAAAACAAAGAGCAGAACAAATCATAACAACTATTAAATAGCATGTTTTGCATTGTGGAGGAACATTTTTTGTACCTGCATGAGTTAACATACCAGAATAAGGTCTGAATAATCTCGACACATCCTAATGATGGAAGAACAGGCATGTCTTCTGACGTTCTTTACAGCTCGCGTTCGAGGTGCCTGAACACATCCACTGAACGTCAACAAGAGTGTTTGATTAGAGAATGATATGCAGATATGTTTACAAGTATGGGCACCTTACCTTGCGTTCTTCAACCAATTCAAAAGTGATGGCAGGGAATATCTTAGAAAGGAAACAAAATTGATGTTGGTAGGTCTTTAACGTATCTTTAATTGCACTAAGTAAAACACATACAGGCTATAAATAAATAAAAAAACTAAAATTTAGATAAAAAAATATGTAAATGCATGACATAAGACTTAGATGGCAATAACAGGCAATAACAGCAGAGAGAAGAGAAAAAATCTTGGGGAGAAGGGGAGAGAATACAGGGGGTTGTGAACCAGATTCAAACTCACATATTACTGATTGATTGATTCTAGATCATAAGCCGTGTATAACCAGACCACAGGCAGGGGGCTTGACATTAACACCAGCCAATCCGGCAAATGCGGGTGTATTTCAGCAGTGGTGTGTAATGCAGTCAATCCTACTAGCCAATTTGTCGGGTTGAATTTTATATATAAAATATACAATTTTCAATAGTAGCCTTTTAAAAGGCATCTGAAATAATAAACTAAGTGCAATGTAGTGTTGTAAAAATATATAGCTTTTTCGATATACACTCACCTAAAGGATTATTAGGAACACCATACTAATACTGTGTTTGACCCCCTTTCGCCTTCAGAACTGCCTTAATTCTACGTGGCATTGATTCAACAAGGTGCTGAAAGCATTCTTTAGAAATGTTGGCCCATATTGATAGGATAGCATCTTGCAGTTGATGGAGATTTGTGGGATGCACATCAAGGGCACGAAGCTCCCGTTCCACCACATCCCAAAGATGCTCTATTGGGTTGAGATCTGGTGACTGTGGGGGCCATTTTAGTACAGTGAATTCATTGTCATGTTCAAGAAACCAATTTGAAATGATTCGAGCTTTGTGACATGGTGCATTATCCTGCTGGAAGTAGCCATCAGAGGATGGGTACATGGTGGCCATAAAGGGATGGACATGGTCAGTAACAATGCTCAGGTAGGTCGTGGCATTTAAACGATCCCCATTTGACACTTAGGGGCCAAAAGTGTGCCAAGAAAACATCCCCCACACCATTACACCACCACCACCAGCCTGCACAGTGGGAACAAGGCATGATGGATCCATGTTCTCATTCTGTTTACGCCAAATTCTGACTCTACCATCTGAATGTCTCAACAGAAATCGAGACTCATCAGACCAGGCAACATTTTTCCAGTCTTCAACTGTCCAATTTTGGTGAGCTCTTGCAAATTGTAGCCTCTTTTTCCTATTTGTAGTGGAGATGAGTGGTACCCGGTGGGGTCTTCTGCTGTTGTAGCCCATCCGCCTCAAGGTTGTGTGTGTTGTGGCTTCACAAATGCTTTGCTGCATACCTCGGTTGTAACGAGTGGTTATTTCAGTCAAAGTTGCTCTTCTATGAGCTTGAATCAGTCGGCCCATTCTCCTCTGACCTCTAGCATCAACAAGGCATTTTCGCCCACAGGACTGCCACATACTGGATGTGTTTCCCTTTTCACACCATTCTTTGTAAACCCTAGAAATGGTTGTGCGTGAAAATCCCAGTAACTGAGCAGATTGTGAAATACTCAGACCGGCCCGTCTGGCACCAACAACCATGCCACACTCAAAATTGCTTAAATCACCTTTCTTTCCCATTCTGACATTCAGTTTGGAGTTCAGGAGATTGTCTTGACCAGGACCACACCCCTAAATGCATTGAATCAACTGCCATGTGATTGGTTGATTAGATAATTGCATTAATGAGAAATTGAACAGGGGTTCCTAATAATCCTTTAGGTGAGTGTATATCAATACTGAAATATCTGAAACGCAGAATAGATACACGATACCAGCTGTGCTTTCTAGCTCTCTCACCTCTCCGACAGCGAGTTGACACAAACCCAAAGTGCGAGCACATAAAGCCGCCACTCAGTGCTAAATTGTTTAAAAAAATGTAAAGTTCTTTTTCACTGATTATCGCACTTAAACAGTCAAATACACACAAAATAATGTCAAAATGCCGGTCTGGGCCAGTTTAATCTAAACAGTCAGGTATTTTTTTAAGTGAACATAAATAGTTGAGACGGAAACACGTGTAACAGTATAATGGGTCGGTGCATTAGCTCTTAAAGTAAGCTAAAATTTTGCTGTGCAACAGTAAATATGACCAGACCTTAGAGCTTTACAATTTTGAAACAGCAGATTATATCCCTCACCTTATAGAGTACTTGAGGCAGGAACTGAGGTTGGTGTTTGACGAAGGGAAAGAGAGTGGATATGATGGTAAGAACACAGGACAGAATGAGAGGATCTCTTGTCTCATAGTTTACAACCATCTGCAGCAGCTCCATGCCCTCATCTATGGGAAGCTTCTACAGGAGTGGGGAAAAAAAGTCTCAATGACAAGATCCACTTTAAAGCCCTCACTGCTGCACCATGAAAGACATTGGATGGTCTTGCCTCTTTTTCGAGGATTTTGAAGAGCTGTCCAAATACACTTTCAGTGAAGAAAGTCATGGCATCCCACTGAACCGCTGAAGGGGACAGAGCAGAACAGAGAACCTTATCCATCTTAGCTTCAACAGACAACAAGACACAAATGAAGGCATGTTAAAGGAACGTTCTAAGGTAATACACAAGTATCGATTTTGAAGTGTTGATTATTGTCTGTGGTAACCAACATCGGTGGAGCTCAATTTGTATAATGGTGTTTCAATTGTGAACATCAGTGTTTTAAGTCTATGAATTAAATGAATGAACATGGACATTTGTAAACAAATGAGGCGGTGCCTCATGAATGAGAATCTGTATGTATGTAATGTAAATCAAACTCAATCTCATTCCACAATGAATCAAAGCTTTATGACATAGGTACACTGATCATCAGCCAAAACATTAAAAGCAATATGCAGCCAAAACAGCTCTGATGTGTTAAGGCATGAACTCCACAAGACATCTGAGTGTATGCTGTGTTCTCTGGGACCAAGATATTAGGAGTGGAAGCTTTAAGTCCTGCAAGTTGCGAAGTGGGGCCTCAATGGATTGGATTGTTTGACCAGTTCTGATGCTCCCCTCGTGCATCAATGAGCCATGACCCTGATGCCAGTTCACCGGTTGTCCTTTGTTGCACCAATTTTGATAGGTACCAACAACTAAATACTGGGGAAAACCCCAAAATTCATAATTCAGCAATCCTATAAGATCATTAGAAATCAAATTGTACGACATGGATATAATAAACTTGTGTACGACATGTATATAGACTGTTCGATTATGACACCTATTGAATTGTAGGCTACGACAAGTTTGTATAGAATAATAAAACGTCATCAGCATGTGCTAGTGGTAAACAAAGATCGCAAATACAGCAAGATGAATCGCACTTTGGCAATTGCGGTTTTTATGTGCGCTAAAAAAGAAAATAGGAGGAAGCGCCAGAGTAGATGGTCGCAGTCTTGGCTAGGGAAAAGGGCGCCTTTAAACCTCTCTCACTGTACGACGTAGGACCACCGACCACAGAAAATCACTACGATTGGTCATCTTTCGTCAGGGACAGCCCAAAATCGTACAATGTGTACCAGGACTTGCTGCTTTGGAGATGCTCTGACCCAGTCGTCTAACCATCACTGTACAACCTTTGTCAGAGTCACTAAGATCTTTTTGCTTAACCATTTTTTCTGCTTCCAACACATGAAATACAACAACTGACTGTTCACTTGCTGCCTAATACTGTATATCCCACCACTTGACAGGTGCCACTGACACAATATAATCAATGTTATTCACTTCACCTGTCTGTGATTTTAATGTTGTGGCTGATCAGTGTATGTACAATTTATAAATTTGACCACAGAGTGAAATTGTGTAGGACAAGGCAAGGGTGATGGGTCAAAGTAAGAGCTCAAATTGGCATAGTTTACTGGATAAAAAAAAAATCTGTACTTGTCCAGACAACCAGTTCTTTATTAACGCTTGCATTTCCATTTAGAAGTGCTGCACGCATTTTGGAGACACTCAGCTTATTTGCAATGCAAGGGTTAATAAAGAACTGGTTGTCTGGATAAGTACAGAGTTTTCTTTACTAACTTTAAAATTAGAGTCTAATAAAAGTCTGTTATTTGTTATCTAGTTACTGTATGAGGTTTTGCCAACAGTTTGAGGATCCACTGCAGTTAGTTACGAGGTTTTTTTAGTAGGAAGTCTATTCAAGCTCTTGTATAAAATATAGGGGAAAAAATATCTTTATTAACTGGTTTTCGGAACTGTAATATTATGGAAGAAATGCAAGAACAGAAATGTTAAAATACTGATTCTGCTCGGAGTGAACCGGATTGATTTTTCTTTTTCTTTTGTTTTTAAGCCCTGCAATGAAGAATATGCGTCACACTAGCATAGTTGTGACAAAAAAACAAAAACAAAAAATCAGAAAGCAGCAGCACATTTACAAAAACAGCATAACCATTTGGCAGATTAAAGAGTACCTACCATAAAGAAAGGGTAGTAACAATACTCACGTGTTGTATTCCCAGTATCTATAGGTGTGTTGATCTGATACTGCGCCCACTCCCTTGCAATTTGAAAAGCCTCGAACGGGACAATTTTACAAGCCTGACGAACTGCTTCCCCCTGATGAGCCCTGAAAGCTGTTTAACAAATATTGTTAAGGGGTAAACCGAACCGGGGAAAAAAATTATTCTTTAAAAAAGACAATTAGGTTGTATTCATATTCTTTCTTTGTGATAATTTTGAGATTCAAACCATTTTATTTCTGCTATAACTTTATACATCACACAGGGCATGCACTGGTTGGTGGGGGATTTTTTGTTATTCATTTTCCTAACTACATCTAATTCAATCACATCATATTTATCATCCGCCTACAAGTCCATGTTCTCTCCTGTCCTCTGCAGTCAGCAGGACGACACAAATGTACCATCAACATTTCTCTCTACAAAATCAATAACTGGAACCTTTAATCTCTCTCTCACACACACACACACGCACACCCTGTGGTGAAACAAGCTACGGATTGATCTGACTGCACTGACACTGTTTGATGAGAACTGAGCTGGAAGATGGCTTCACTGTTTAATGCTGCTTTATAGCCAAATTGAACTAATTTAATAATTGATGATCTTTACACTGAAACTGAATCAACATTGAACTGACTTCGGCTGAACAATGACACTACGTAATAGTTTAATAGTTGCTTTACAGACGATTTGAGCAATGTTTGTATTAGTGCTGCAGGATTAATCGAATCGCAATCGTAATCGCGATGTCAAACCTCTGCGATTATATAACGCAAAATGCCGCGATTTTATATGAACACAGCATCTCTTCTTTTTTGTCATCCTTTGACTAGTGTTACATGATCCCGCTCTTATTCGTGCAAATGCCTTGAAACTATTTTGCACGACAAGAAGTCAAAAGAGAGCGCGCTGCCTGTGAATGTCCTGAATGTGACTCACAGAATAACGCGCGCCAGTATAATGCGCATGCACAGACCGGGTGCCAGAATACAGTTCTCTTTCGAGCTTGAACGAACAATAACACACACAATTATGCCAAAATGTTGTTTGGCGATTATCTTCATAACATAAGAGCAGTCTTATGATGGACAAAAAGAGTTGTGCTTGTGAGAGAATGAGGCGCGTGTGAGATCCGCGTCTCGGCAACGGCTGCTCTTAAAGGGCCAGCAGCGAATAAAGCGTTCCGTCAGTAAAGTTAATCAAAGAACAAAGGGAACAGAAAATTACTCACTGCTCTTGACTAAAGAAGTTTTGTGGGTTTAATAAGGATTAGTCTATATATATAATTTATAATTCATGCAGCGCAGACTGTTTGATAACTTTATTCAATTTCTGTATATAAATCTGTATATAAATCCTCAATCCTACCTGTTAAGACAGGAAGGGCACAGGTAAATATGGCATTTATTATGGGTTTATGTGAGGATTGTTTGAAGTTCACTTAATTTAAAAGCTGTTATTATTATTTTTTTAAGCCTAATAAATATTTTAAAAGTTGATAGCTTTCAATTGTATTGATGGAATCACTGTAATGTTGGATGGCTATAATTAACGTTTAAAATGTGGGGGGTGTCGTCATTTTTATCCAGACATCAATGGTTTATTGATCATTATAGGTGTTATCAATCATTTAGTTGTTGTTGCTAGTTTGAGTTGAGAAATACACATTAATACACAGAATGATCACTAATCTGTGTGTGCATTTTACTTTAGAACCAAGCAAGTTGACTCATGAAACCATTTGTTTATTATATCGCAATCGCAATATTGACCTCATTAATCTAAATATGACATTTTCCCCAAATCGTGCAGCCCTAGTTTGTATCATTGAATAATTTTCCTATTGATCACTGTAAAGCTGCTTTGAAACAATCCGTATTATATAAAGCGCCAAAAAAATAAAGGTGACTGGACTTGATTCTGCAACTTTTAGATCGACATATCAACTGCTGGGTTAATAATATCATCTGTGCATTTGATTGTCAATGATTGGGAAAATTATTAGTTACTAGTAAACTAGTTACTAACCAATAATAACTCACAATTAAAGCAGCAGTTGAAATCTTCATCACTATCAAAGTCCACTCTGGAGAATTCACAACCTGGACAATCATTCTTGGAGGGAAATCCAGTCTGTAAAAGGCAAACAGAGCAATTAAGTATGATTAAGTATGATAGCAATTACTCAAAACTGCTCTGTGTCTGGGATACACAGCACTTACTTTCACAAGATTGATCCTTGCTGATCTTAAATATTTGATGGTCATTTGGCAAATTACAGGATCCTTCGATAAAACTTCATGTCGGAATAAGTTTCCCCAGGTCATTTGCGTGGAAGACCTCAAAAACTGTTTTGAATAATATCAAATACATGATTAAATATGCAATATTTAGTAACAATTCTTGGTTGACCAATGAGTTTCACTGAGTAGCAATAATGCAGTTCAACCTGGCTGGGATGAGTAGTGAAAGCAAGAAGAGCTTCCATGTATTTATTCAGGTTAACAGGAACTTGTACTTCAACATCTGAACCCTGAAGAGAAAAATAAAAATCTTCTGCATAAATGGAAAAAAGGATAAATGATACACAACAGTGATGCTCATACGATCACCTCACCACTAGAGAGCAGATTTGGCTACCCAGGGCACAGAGAACCTGACACAGCCTCTTCAAAAAGGTGTATCTTCTTTCCACGACGGCACCCGATGATCTGAATTGGACGATGGACAGTTTTGGTTAAAACTAACAGGAGTGAACTCGGTTGTTCTAAATTAAGCCTGTGTTGGTTTTTAAGAGAAAAATGTAAACTCACTGGTTACACAGAGCTGCACCGTCTGCCGACCTATATTAAAATAAAATCCAAACAGCATTTTGCAGTCATTCGAACAGTATCCAAGTCATTTAGAGCAGGGTTCCTCAGATCTGTTCCTGCAGGGCCACTGTCCTACAGTTTAGTTTCAACTAATCAAACACACATGAACAACCTAATCAAGGTCTTCAAAGCTACTAAAAAATGTCAGGCGAGTTTGATCAGGGTTTGAGCTAAACTCTGCAAGACAGTGGCCCTTCAAGGCCAGATTTGGAGAACCCTGATTAAGAATAAGCTTAGACGTGTACTTACTGTGCAGCAGACAGGATATAGTTCATGGCGACTTCATCAAAGAGCAACATAAATGGCTTTCTCTCCTCTAACTTTCCCTGTGGAAGTACAGAAGTTGCTCAATCAAAAACACTTCAACTGATCACTTCAACTCTTGACACTAAAAAGCACTACAATTAACTTCACACAACATAGTGGTGCTAGTCAGGGCTTGACATTAACGTTTTTTGCTCACCAACCAATGTGGCTAGTGGTTTTCCAAAGTTACTAGCTACTCAGCATTTTCTCTGGCCACAACATTGCCACCATGCAGAGAAACTGCCATATAGATATTTTATTATCTCATAATTTGACCTGACACACAGATCTATTATACTGTTACGCATGCATTTTCTCTCTCAACTGTTTACGTTCACTTAAAACAACTGACGGTGTTTGCGTGAATACTCGTCAAGACCGGCATTTTAACATTTTGTGTGTATTTGACTGTTTAAGGGCAATAAGCAGGGAAAAATAACTAAATTTAGCACTGTAACGACTGAGACAAATCAGACGTGAGTATCTGTTATATTGAACAAATAATCTTTAAAAAACCCTCACCAAACACAAAACAAGGTGCTAAGGTGTCTGCACAACCCACAAAGTAATAGAACCAGGCCTCTAGTTGCCATGATGTTACGACTTAAAAGTATGCACAGTCATTTTGAGTCAGGTCAAAGGAAAGACACATAAAATAGACTTTCCTGCATTAATTATAGACGAACTGAGCTGTAAATGAACGTGCATCCCAGGACATTGTGTGTATGATGATTATTATTGTCTTGTATAGTGTATCTTGCATTGTATTTTGTTTTATGCATGCCTGATGATAGAACTACTAGTTAATGAAGCCCCATCTAGGTGGTCTCTCCTATCAAAAAAATCCTCATTTAATGACTGTTAATCTCAAGCCCTGCTGCTATTTATTAGTAGTCCATTTTCCACCATTAGCAAGTTCTTCCAAAAACATCAGTACAGCTATATATGCCTTTTTACAACCTATTTAAGTCAGCCTTCACAACGATTTTTCCAGTTAAGGTTGATTATAACATTTTTGCCTCACATAACTAAAGTTTCCGGTTTCACTTTATTTTAACGGTCCTTTTAACACATTCTGTTGACTATAAGTAACGTTACACCTACATGTTTACTAACTCTCATTAGAGTGTTAGTAGAGTATTAGTACACTGGTAGGGTTAGAGTTAGAATAAGCTGACATGTACTTGCAAAATTACTTAGATCAGTTCAAATACAATAATTAATAGATAATAACTCAAGTACAGAAAAAAAGCAAGTGGACTTGTTTGGTATATGGGCTTATTAGAGTCTTATTGTACATTTTCTGAAAAGCTACATTTCACACTTTCCAATGTCATGTATGCAAGTCAAAAGTGTTAGTGTACTAGACAGCAAAGAGTTACAGCATAAATACAACCCCAAATCCAGAAAAGTTGTGACATTTTGTAAAATGCAATAAAATCAAGAATCTGTGATTTTGTTAATTCTCTTTAAAGACCCACTCCGATGAAAATAATGTTTTTCTAGGTGTTAACATGTTCTTGTGGCATTTTTCTGATGTTAGAGGACATATCTTGAGAAAAATAAGCTCAAAGTTGTATTTCTGAGTATTTCTACATTCAAATGGCTGTGAATCAGTAGCAGACGCTAAGATGCCAGCTAAAATAGACTGGAGTTGTGACGTAGTAACTCCACTGGGCGTCTCCACACGCGACGTCTTGGAGTGAAATAATGATCGGTGATCGGTGATAACTTTGATTAACTTCGGATAATAATAATTAACGTGTATATAATACTGTTGCCCCACCGGTAATGGGGGTGTAAGCTAGCGGGAGAGACAGAGCTCTCAGCAACGGGCAGGGGGAGGGTCGTCTCCGTGCCAACGGCTCCGCCCACAACGCAGAGGCGAATTGCTAACGAGCTACTGCCGCTCTGCTGAAGCGAAGTCCCAGAAAACGGCACAGGTTTTGTGATTTTGGCTAAAAATGGCATAATCATAATTTAAAGACCACTGGGAATGTTTAAAAATAGCTCAAAATATGATCGGAGTGGGACTTTAACCTTTATTTAACTGACAAAAGTATAAAAAAAATATTTTCAAAGTTTTCACTGATCAATTTAAGTGTATTTTGTACATTTTGATGGCTGCTACACACCAAAAAAAGGTGGGACAGAGGCCAAATAAAAGTGAAAAGCTCAAATAATATCCTAGTTAAACTGTTTTGAAACAGTCCACAATTATCAGGTGAATTGGTCATGTGAGGGTGTCGTGATCGAGTGTAAAAGGAGCATCTCAGTCTATGCAAGTGTTGCAGACCTTACTCTGGGGTCAACTCAACAGATAATAATGTGCCTTTAGTAGATAAAGGAGAGAGAGAGACAATAGTGTGTGTTCAGTCAAGCAGTCCTCTGTTTTTACTGAAGACACACTCTTGTCTCACTCTCCTTTATTAATCCAAGCATCTCAAAAAAGTTGGGACCAGGGGGCATTGGGGCTAGAGGCCACTGCGTTCATGGGCGATGAGACACAAGGCGAGTGCCAAGCGATCTGCATCGAGAGGTTGAGGCTGCATCCAGGGTCCAGAGGGACATCAGAGAGCAACATCATGCCGGATCGTGCTAGGAAGCGGCTGGTGTGGGACATCAAGAAAGACTTAGTAACCTTACCTGCTGATGAACTTTATTGCATTGTCATGGTCAACTGGCAGATACCAGGGAAAGACACATAGGAACTGGATCTGGAGGACAGTGAGGGATGTTTTGAGTACACTTGACACTTTCATGTCAAGTGAGTCTTTGCTTGAGCTTGAGGCTATGAGCAAATAGTTATTACAAAAGAGTGTGAATTCTATACAGCAAGCATGTACTGTAGTAAATTCACATAAGTTTAAAGACATGCATCCAACATTGAGAACTCTCACACCCACCAATACCTTATCCAATACATGATCCTGTCGAGTCAACATCAGAACTGGGCCAGAACTGACACTGGTACATAGATTGTTTTCTGATTATGAAGAACTCCGTAAGAAACTTCTCTAATGTGTCTACACATGCAAAACATACTACTCTGACACAACATACACAAACTAGTGACATGACATATATGAAAAGTGAAAAGCTTAGAGAATATGAATCAAAAGGACTCACTGACGTTGAGGGGATAAACCCCTTAGGTATCGAAATTTGGTACCGAACGACAAGAGATTTTGATACTCAATGGTTTCGAGGCAATTCAGTCGGTGCCTAAAAAGTATCAAACTCGACACCTAACCCTAATAAACACACAACAACATTGAGAATACAGCAAGTCTGACCATGACGGACTGAACAGAAGAAATGAAGCAGAAAAGATTTCCGCGTGAAAGGAGGCAGACGCTTTGCGCACACTTACCTATTATGTAATCGCCACGTACCAATGGTCGTACAAAGGTTTTTACCAGCCAAAGCGAACTTTTCCGGAAATTTTGTTCAAAAGGTCACATCAGTTTGTTCTTCAATTTAGCGTGAAGTATATCAGGGCCTTGAGGCTTTGAATGCATTTTACTGCAGGTTTGAAAAGTCCAGACTCTCACCCCACACCCACTCTGTTTGCCTTCCGTTTACCCTTTTCTCTTACAGAGTGATTGAGAAGGAACCAACTCCCTGCTGTCTGGATGAAGTTTGCTATCTTCACTCCACTTTCTCCAGCACACTCACAACAGAAGCACAAGAGCACCAACACTCTTTTCATCCTCACTGTTGCACAAGAAATAAACGCACACTCCGGTTTTAACAACTTAGATGTTTGCTCTCCTTTTTCCCCAAGCCCCACTACGCTGGTGGAGAATGCGGGCAGCAGAACAGCGAGAGGCAGCTTCCAGCACCTTGCTGAGGTCTCTGTGCGGCAGAACAGTTGGTTTCTGGCCAAAATCAAGTGGATGGGGAGCTTGTGCGGCTAACAACAGAGACCACCGCCTGGATTACACCACTCGAGCCAAGAGCTTCAGCACTGCAAATTCTCCCGAAGATGACAGACCAGGATGGCGTGGAAGCTTATCTTCACCACTTGAGGTTGTTGCGGCTCGAGAAGAATGGGGCCGCCGTGAGTGGGTACGTCTGCTGGACCCGCTGTTGACTGGTGAGGCTCAGTGAGTATATTATTCCCTACCCCTCGAGGATGCCGCAGACCATGACACACTGAAGAGGGAGATCCTCGCCCGGGTAGGACTATCTCTGGTGTGATCAGCTCAGAAAGTGCACGAGTGGAACTTTGAACCCAGGGTCTCCTTACGTGTCCAGGCTGCCCAGCTTGCCTGAATGGTCAAACTTTGGCCACTGCCCGACCAAGCCAGGAAGTGGTAGAGAGAGTCCCTGTGAACCGGCTGTTACGTACTTTGCCTCGCCCTCATCGCCGCACAGATGGTCTCACCAACCCACGGACCCTGAATGATTTAGTGGAGGCAGTAGAGTCTTTCACCAGAGATTCCGGGGGGAGAACTGTTCTGTCTGTCCGGAGGGGTGCGACGTGTTGCGGATGGCAACTCCAAGCCGGTGAGCCTGGCGAGTGTATCCTGTTATTGACGTGCCGTTCACATGTATTGGGATGGAACTCATAGGGGCGCTGCCCAAGTCAGCTCGGGGTCACAAGCATATTCTAGTAATTGTTGACCATACCACCTACTACCCAGAGGCACATCCCCCTCAGAAGAGCTACAGCAGCAGTCATCGCCCAATAACTCTTCCTGTTGTGTAGCCGGCTGAGGATTCCTACAGATATCCTAACTGATCAAGGGACTCCCTTCGTCTCCCAGATAATGGCCGACCTCTGCAAATTGCTAAAGGTGAAATGTCTTCAAAACTCAGTCTACCATCCACAGACTGGTGGTTCAGTGGAGCAGTTAAATAGGATGTTAAAGCAGATGCTGAACAGGATGGTCAGTCAGGATGGGCGCGATTGGGAGCAGATGCTGCCATATGTGCTTTTTTAAAATCAGGGAAGTACACCAGGCTTCCACTGGTTTCACCCCCTTTGAATTGCTCTTTGGACGCCAACCCAGAGGCCTTCTGGACATCGCCAAAGCAGCCTGGGAGCAACAGCCCTCTCCCTATCGCTCCGTCATTGAGCAAAGTAATGCCTCGGGTACAGGAACATTAGCTCGAGTCCCAGTGTGCCCTGTATGACCGGGTGCCTGCGCAACCTCGTGAGTCTTGATACCTGACACTGCCTGCAGTTTCTTGCCTCCTGGAAAGGTCCCTACACTGTCATGGAGCGGGTCGGACCTGTGAACTACTGTTTACGCCAATCCGGGAGACGAAGGCCAGAGCAGATTTATCGTGTTAACCTCTTGAAGCATTGAGACGCAGCCTCCAACGCCATGGTCCTACTAGCAGAGAAGGATGAACAAGAGGAGGAAAAGCAATCCATGAATTCCCCTGGCCCATTTCCAAGAAACAGGGACATGCATTTCTGGGGTTGGCAGGGTACTATCGCTAGCCTGGGAAAACCCAGACAACTTCTGGCAAATTTAGATTTGCTCTGAAAGTTAGTCTGGCAAAGAGCTCATTCAAGCCCATTTCCAATCCGTCGAAATCGAGGCACCAACCAGAAACGTTGGGGCGGGCTTTACACGATGACGACAGCGCTGGGATTTTAAAGCAGAATTTTGTAGCCTACATTACAAAGATGGATGCCGCCGTCGAACATCACTCGTTCGAATCAGCTATCGCGTCTGTTTTAAGCGATTTGAACGTTTCCTTTTTGTTAAAAACCGAGCAAAACACTCGGAGATGTTTCTCCACCGCTCTGCATACATCATCTCCTTCATCGCTCTGATTTGTTTTAGGTCTATCCGCGATGTCCGTTGGTGACGCCCCTCTGGAAATGATTTGTCCATGACGCTTTGCCAGACCATAACTCAGTTACAACTGAGGTAACCAGGCTATACTATCGCTGTTTTATACTGGGCTTTTCCTCTTTGGCCTCTCCCCTCACAGACCTAACAAAGAAAGGCCAGCCCGACAAGGTGCAGTGGAGTCCCACAGCAGAGGAAGCATGACCCTAACCCTAACCCTATTTACAAAACACAAAAATTGGTCAGTGCAAACTTTGAAAATCATTTCTCTGTACTTTTGTCAGTTAAATAAAGGTTTTAGAGAGAATTAACAAATGACAGTTTCTTGATTGTATTGCATTTTGAATAAATAAATATAAATAAATAAATGTGGAAAATGTTATTTCAGAAAAGCAGCTGAAAAGAGAAAGTAGTATAATGTAAATGCAGCAGTCACTCACTTTCCTACTAATGGCAATTAGCAGACACTCTGCAGCCTCCAACTGAAGTTCGGGTTCGCTAAGCAACAGGCACAAGATCTCCAAAAGACGGCAGTTTTCATTGGTGATGTGGCTCAGAGCAACCCAATCAATGTAGCCAGCCAGAGTGTTGAGAGTGGCCACACCAACTCGCCAGTGAGCTTTTGTCTGGGATTAAAAGACAAAAATCAGAGGTAATTTCATCAGACAAATACGCTACTAGATGGTGAATGTAGAGCAGATAGATTACATTAAGAAACTGTAGAAAGCATTAAAAATTAAAAAATTAATTTTAAAATAACCTAAATACAATAACTGCAAAAAGCAATTATGGGGCCAAGCATGACAGTCTCAAACACATTTGATGGAAAGATGCCATAAAGGATCTATTCATTACCCGAGAACAGCTTGATTAATTGCTAAAACCCATTAAATGCTTTTAAATATTAGTCTTAATGTTATCAGAGCCATTTGGTGCATATCTGATGAACTCAAAATGGTAATATTGCAAAATCCGTTAAATAAATTATTCCTGTAACCCAAGAATTTGAGAACACATCAATCATAAACATAATTACTGTACAATACTGTTTATTTTTTATAATTTGTTATTCTAATTTTACCTCTGTTCATTTCTCAAAATGCATGAAAAGAAAATTCTACTAGCCCTAGCTCTGTAACCAACAGAATCAAAAACTCATTTTTAGAGCAGAACGCTACCATTAGAAGACTTCTATCTGTGAAAATAACAGGCTCCTCGCTGGTCCCTTAGCAGTGATAATCAACGCCAAATTGAAGGGAATAAAAAAAAAAAAATATATATATATATATATATATATATATATATATATACACACTCACCTAAAGGATTATTAGGAACACCATACCGTATTTTCCGCACTTTTATAAGGCGCACCTTCAATGAATGACCTATTTTAGAACATTTTTCATATATAGGGCGCACCGGATTATAAGGCGCACCTTCAATGAATGACCTATTTTAGAACATTTTTCATATATAGGGCGCACCGGATTATAAGGCGCATAAGATACTGCAGTCAAACGTTTGACTGGGTTTGCGTTTTGCATCCACTAGATGTGCTAAAGGGAATGTAGCGAGTAGGGCTGGGCGATATGGCTGAAAACTGTATCACGATATCAGTGTTTCATATCGGTCGATATCAATAATTATTGATTTTTTTTATGACCCATTTAAAATAAGGACCAGGAGAAAAAATATATTACATTTAAACATTTTTATTTTAAACTTAACCTTCCTCTGATTACAATCCCAAGACAGAAATGTCAACACAACCATGGAAAACTCAAATAATTAAAATGTAAACATAAGTCTAAATTCACAATCAGACCTGCAAACTCCTCAGAGTAAAAAAGGTGACAGTGGCGCGGCGGGACGTGGGTGGTGGGGGTTTGTGATCGTACGTGCCCCCTGCTTGATTTTTTTTTTAGACATCACGGTTCTGTACGATTTCGGTACAATGGAGTGAAAATCAAAACATAAATATAGAAGGAATTTTTATAAATGTCTTAAGCCTTGTATTTTTTAAATAAGTTTTTTTAATAAAGGCATAGAACCAGTTTATTTATAGTGCACTGATAATAGTTTTATATAATTGGTTTATTAATTAAACTAATATAAAGATAGATATGAGATATGTTTGGTAATTTTACCTGAATGAATTTAAAATTAATTTGCTATATTTCAGATCAATATATTTGTTTTCCTTAATTTTAATTAACCCTAACTTTCTTCTCATCAGAATTGTAAATAATTGATTTCCATATAAAATAATACTACCAACACATTTCATTTTCTTTTTTAATCAATGTGTAACTTAAAAATAAACAGATTAGTGCTCTGTTTTGAGGACAAGAAATGAAAACCAACGCGATATGATGAATGTCCAAAAGATGGAACACACAGACTGTTTTAAAAAGGGGTTGGATAAATATGTTTTGGTTTTAAAACGGTGTGTACAGTTGTAGGTTACAGTTTGACAAGAAATATAGTGTGAAAAAAGCACAATGTTGTGTTTTATTGCAAGTATAGGCCTACACAAATATAAGTAAACACTTTGCAGACTGAATAATGTCCTGTATTAACAAAATGACGGAGTATGTTTTTATGTCTCCACTGTTCGATCGCGCCCGCGTGTCTCTCTCTCTCGCGCGCGCGCGCACACACACACACTCCAGCATTGCAATCTTGACATCGCAGCCTGGTCATTATGCTGTGTTCACATCAAACGCGAATAGAGCGAATTATCCAATAATGTTTCGCAATTCTAGCCTGCATGGCATGCAGATGAAGGGCACTCATTTTCTGCTTATCAATCGCCGGTTACTGAAGAGGAACCCAGCAGCACGAGACAACGATATGGTGCAACCAAACTGACACGTTACATGATTGCCTGTTAGCGTGTCACTCCCTACTTTGCTAGGTTACCAGAGAGCGAGTGCCTTGTTAATGCAACCAAACTTGCTTCGCAACCTGTGGTTTCTTCCAACGAAGAAAAAAATATCGAACGTTTTATTGAACACATTTTTTATTGATATCGATCACGTGTCTATCGCGATACATATCGTTATTGTTTTATCGCCCAGCCCTAGTAGCGAGTGCGCGGCGCAGGAGGCGAGGCGTTTATTAGTAAGCGTGAGCGCACTGGGGCGAGCACGTAACTTACATTCGCAGCCTGACTCATGAGTATTCATGTGCGGCGGCTCGCTAACAGCAACAACTGGCTGTTTTGAATGAGACGACCCGGTTACTGTGAACGGGGAGCGCTTTATGAACACACTGTGACGCGCGAGCAGCGCCGGGGACAGCGTGTCTGTTCGTGTGTCTGTTAGTAAGAGTGAGCACTCGTGAGCAGGCACGTGACTTACACACAACCTGATTTTTACGAGGTTGAACTGGCCGTGAGACAGAGCGGACATAAGATGGACACGAGCGCGAGTTCGCGGGCGAATTTAATAACGTGGAGCGTTATTAACCAATTGATCCAATTAACCAATTGATCCATATATAAGGCGCTCTGGATTAAAAGGCGCACTGTCGTTTTTTGAGAAAATTAAACGCTTTTAAGTGCGCCTTATAGTGCAGAAAATACGGTACTAATACTGTGTTTGACCCCCTTTCGCCTTCAGAACTGCCTTAATTCTACGTGAGCATTGATTCAACAAGGTGCTGAAAGCATTCTTTAGAAACGTTGGCCCATATTGATAGGATAGCATCTTGCAGTTGATGGGAGATTTGTGGGATGCACATCCAGGGCACGAAGCTCCCGTTCCACCACATCCCAAAGATGCTCTATTGGGTTGAGATCTGGTGACTGTGGGGGCCATTTTAGTACAGTGAACTCATTGTCATGTTCAAGAAACCAATTTGAAATGATTCGAGCTTTGTGACATGGTGCATTATCCTGCTGGAAGTAGCCATCAGAGGATGGGTACATGGTGGCCATAAAGGGATGGACATGGTCAGAAACAATGCTCAGGTAGGCCGTGGCATTTAAACGATGCCCAATTGGGACTAAGGGGCAAGGGGGTAATCCATCGACCGGAAGTTGAAGCCGGCCGGGTGCCGCCATGTTGTAGCAGAACTTCACTTGCGTTAGCATTTCCATTGACTCCCAGTCATTTTGGCGTCACTTTGACAGCGAATAACTTTACATCTGAGGCGTTTAAAGACTCCATTTGTCCATTATTTATTTCTAAAGAAACACGACAATGTATAAAGGGCTCCATTACCTTCTATGTTACATTATGGCCCCGTAGAAACAGATTTAGTAAAAATAGGCTAACGATTGCGTCATAACCACTCGACTCTCTGTCGCGCTGTACAGAAATTACCGTACAGACAGGAGGAGAAGCTCGCAGGCAATCGGGGGGACGTCCCGTCAAGGGAGAAGCCCATAGATAATGAGTCCATAAAAGCAACGGAATACTTACTCCTGCTCACTCACGCCAAAGAACTCTTTGCTCAAGTTCCCCGTCTCTGCAAGATTAACGTTGGCAGTTTTCACGCACAGCTACTAGAAGATTAACGTTTGTCAGACAGGTTGCTCACGTCATCAAGCTTAGTTTGAGTCGGTCTGAGTCTGCGCGTCAGGAACGGAAGTTCTCAAAAATCGCTAAAAGTGGGCTTCAACTGTCTCAACTGAGTTCCAATGAGATCGCTCTGTCCATTTCTTTTACTGTCTATGCTAAGGGGCCTAAAGTGTGCCAAGAAAACATCCCCCACACCATTACACCACCACCACCAGCCTGCACAGTGGTAACAAGGCATGATGGATCCATGTTCTCATTCTGTTTACGCCAAATTCTGACTCTACCATCTGAATGTCTCAACAGAAATCGAGACTCATCAGACCAGGCAACATTTTTCCAGTCCTCAACTGTCCAATTTTGGTGAGCTCTTGCAAATTGTAGCCTCTTTTTCCTATTTGTAGTGGAGATGAGTGGTACCCGGTGGGGTCTTCTGCTGTTGTAGCCCATCCGCCTCAAGGTTGTGCGTGTTGTGGCTTCACAAATGCTTTGCTGCATACCTCGGTTGTAACGAGTGGTTATTTCAGTCAAAGTTGCTCTTCTATCAGCTTGAATCAGTCGGCCCATTCTCCTCTGACCTCTAGCATCAACAAGGCATTTTCGCCCACAGGACTGCCACATACTTGATGTTTTTCCCTTTTCACACCATTCTTTGAAAACCCTAGAAATGGTTGTGCGTGAAAATCCCAGTAACTGAGCAGATTGTGAAATACTCAGACCGGCCCGTCTGGCACCAACAACCATGCCACGCTCAAAATTGCTTAAATCACCTTTCTTTCCTATTCTGACATTCAGTTTGGAGTTCAGGAGATTGTCTTGACCAGGACCACACCCCTAAATGCATTGAAGCAACTGCCATGTGATTAGTTGATTAGATAATTGCATTAATGAGAAATTTAACAGGTGTTCCTAATAATCCTTTAGGTGAGTGTATATATATATATATACATATATATGCATGTACAGCAGGGCTCGACATAAGCAATGGCCCGATGGCCCGGGGCCAGTAAAAGAGAATGTGGGTCTAGCTTGTTTGGCCAGTCACTGGCCCACGCGGGCCAGTGAATGGCCATCAGCAAAACAAACAGCAAACGTCATATACAGTGGCGCGAAGAGTGTCAATGTTACTTCAGGTTATTTATAACGTGTTAAAATGTCAAAGAACTATGAGGCTGACAAGAGAAAGGGGACATTCCTAGTAGGGCTGGGTGGTAAATCGAGTTTGTAGGCTACAGTATATTGATTTTTTTTTTAAACGATATGGAATGAGGCAATACCGTTTCCATACAGTAGTTTGATACGAGCACATCTGAAAAATAGCGGAGTACGCAGTGTGAGCTCCTGCAGTGAAAGAACATAGTACAATTTGTCCTAAACATGACACAAGCTTATACTGGTAAGATATTGTTAACAAGTTTAAAGTAGCTTGCCCTGTCAGATGCTCTGACAGATACTGTTGCTGACTGAGAGATAAATACTTGCGCTGTTTAATGCGTTTGAGACGTGGTGCTTTCCTCAGTGCTTAACTTACATTTCACAGGTATATTCTCCATCTGTAAATGTTAGAAAGTCAAACAAATATGTCCATTTCACTGTCAGGAGAGGACGAGCTTCTGCAAGTGAATCTCCGCTAATATTCAAGCTTCCGTTAATGAGCGCCGCCGCGAGCATGCGCGCCTAACAGACGAGCACAATAGAAGAGTAGCGCAATAATTCTGACTAAAATATACATATTGCTAAAATATTTGTTGTTGGAGACAATAAATGTGCCATATGTGGAATTTTAAACCTACAAGTATGTTTTTATGAAAGTGAGCATTATAATGGGGTAATCAAATGCAGGCTAATATAAATAGTTTGTGCTTTTGTTTTTATTTTCATTTTTAGTTTAGCCTTTAGTCATTTTAAAAACAAAAGCATTATTTTTGCTTTTAGATTGTAATGTTACAATGTTAGAATGTAATATGATTTTAACAACCTTTTTGCACATAATATATTGCATAGCCTACATTACATTCCCTATATTTGTTTCCATATCCTTCAATATCAATATTGTTTGGATATCATTGAGCAGGATGTGAAATAATTTTTTTTAAAAATAAATACAGATTTTCTTTATCCAAATAGAAAAACGTAGAAAGTACCGAGATATATATCGTATATCGCCATTTAACCAAAAAATACCGAGATATGATTTTTTTGGCCATTTCGCCCAGTCCTAATTCCTAGTGTCATGGAAAACACAGTACACCTGGGTGGAGAAAGGCGATGAGGGCATGTACTGTTTCGTTTGCCGGAAATTTCCAACAAAAGCCGACCAAAATGCAAAACCGGCCTGCCGACGGGCTATCTAAAGTGTAATCAAATTCCCCCCTAAACTTCTGCCTAGCCCCCCTAAAAATGTGTGATTAAGTGTAAGCTACACAAATTTGTGTTCGCTTCAGTCTTGTTATAATCAGATTCAGCGCGTTCTTCATTTTTTTCTTCATTGACAGCTTTTTTAGGTCATAAATGTTAAACGAATGACAAAAATAATCAGGCAAACTAAAATACTTTTGTCTAATTTCGCCATTTTGAAGTGAAAATAGGCCTATGTAATATTACTCATCACTCATGTAATGTAATAATTAGTTTACTGTCATTGTGAGGGGACAAGAACAATTAATCCTAATGTATACAATAAATACAGTTTAATGGAAAAGTGCTTTTCCTTCTATTTCTTTCAGGGCCAGTAAAAATATAGAAGGGGCCAGTAAAACTCTGATCTACTGGCCCTGGGGGCCAGTGGGGATTTTTTTTTATGTTGAGCCCTGATGTACAGTAGTCAACATTTGAAGTGGATCACAAAAGTTCAAAGTTGTCCTAAGACAAGAACGGGTATTGTTCCAAATTCATGTATAACTTTGATGAAAGGTTTTGATAGTAGTCATTTGAAGTGGATCAAAACCTTTCATCAAAGTTATACATGAATTTGGAACAATACCCGTTCTTGTCTTAGGACAACTTTGAACTTTTGTGATCCACTTCAAATGTTGACTACTGTATATATACACACAAATTCTGAAAACAGAAGAGTAGAAATGGCCTTTTATTTCTAAATTATGACAGGTCTGATGTAAAAATCCTATTAACATAAGTACAAATCAGGAAAAAAAACAACATTTTTTAAAAATCTTTTTTTTTTAATCAATTCTTGACTCCATTAATAATATCTTTTTCTTCTTTTTTTTTTAAATCACACAACTTTCTTACAGGAAAAAAAAAGTGTTTTCAATGATGAACCTAACGGTTTAAATATCGGTTATAACAAATGGTTGAAATAAAGCATTTTCCAAATTCTGCGCAAACCCTGTTAGATATAGGAGAGTTGACCAGATCTCAGATTTTCAACAGACTACATTTGAAATTGGCTCTTGAAAATTTAAACTTGGGGTTTCTAGGTTCAAGCACTTTCATTTAAGCTTTGGTCAGTCTAAATCCTGGGTTATCTTTATCCATGTTTCACACTGTACATTTTTAGATGAACCTTTGATATTTAGCCTCTAATTGGAACAGCACTAACCTCTCACAAAAACCTGATAAATAAAGATGAATAGCCCAACTCACCTTCAATTCCAGACCAGCAACACATTTCTAGAAAACAACATGAATAAATCCATTAAAATCATATGAACGTGACAATATTATGTTGCATGCATGCACCGGACAGTAGAAAAAGCACACAAATCATTTAAAAATGTTTTGCATGTGATCATAAATGTCTGAAGAACTCACCAACTTGTTGTACTCATTCACATGAAGTTGCAGAATGCCAAGCAGGAAGGTGAAGATGCTGTCCATATTCTGCGTAAGGGTGTGCTGGATATCTCTCCGTCTTTGAGTGGGTAATGTCTGAAATGTGATCACGTCCTCAGCTAACCGCAGCAGGACAAGCATTACGAGTTCTGTCTGAGCATCCTAAAGAGAATTACAATGTGATTGTTTATTCAAAAAGACAATGATTATTTTACATGTCATCATTTACTTAATCTTTACTTAATCTGCATGCAAAATGCAAATCAAGTAGCAGATTAACAGAATGTTGTCACACTGACTCCTGAAGATTTCTGTAGAGTTTAGTTTCAACCATGTGTGTCAAATTTGACAAATTATATCTCAAGATTTTGCCAATAATAATTAGCAAATTAATTTTTTTTTGGCTGGTTTAGGCCTGTCGTGTCCATCTGATTCCCAAAGCTTTTCATTTTCTTCATATTATGTGCAGTAGTCTATGGGAGCTTATGGAATAAAAAAAAAAAAGGTAATTGCGACTATCTCACAATTCTAACTTTTTTCTCGGATTGCTACTGTCGCACGCACCCTCTCTGTTTATCCAGTGCCGGCTTTGGAATGAACAATGTCCACAGACAAGAGTATGTTGCATGATTTCACGAAAGTATGATGTATTGCGACATCAGAAACGAAGAAAAACAAAATGACTATTGTAACGCTTGATGTAAAGCAGCAAGTCAAATTTGTAGTTTTCTTATGTCTCATTAGAACTACAGAAACGCGACCCGATCTGGCAATCGTACATTGCGTGGTTATAGCAGATATAGGAGCGCAAAGCGAATCCAGAAGTGCCTTTCACCCTGTTACGACTTGATGAACCACTGGAACGATTTTGGAAACATTATTTATACCTAGGGCTGGGCGATAAAACGATAACGATAATTATCGCGACATAATTTTTCTCGATAAAACGATATCAAGAGTTCGATAAATGTTCGATAATGTTTATGCGCCAAAAGCGGAACGAAACTCATTTGAACCGCGCGCGCCTCATGGACTGTTTATCCGCTCGGCTCAAAGTCCAAACGGCAGCGCGAGCTCCCTAGAGCAGTCTGAGCAGACGCGTTTACTCTGATCGTCTCGCTCACGAGATCCAGTTAGAAGCGATTGAAAAAGCGAAGAACACTAATGTCTGAGTGATTTAAACCAGTTTAAAGGCAGATGAAACAGCGCTGACAAACAGGAAAAACACTGTGATACAGTCAGAATATGAATTGATACTGAATCCATTTACCATGGATTTACTGTAAGGTTAGCCTATATTAACTGCACCATGAAATGTGGGATATACATGTTGGATTGTATTATTATTAATGTAGACAATGTTTTAAATGACTAATGGAATATAATTACAGTATTTAATAATGTATTTAGGCTACTTTTTTTCATACAAATACCATAGAAACCATAAAGTTATTTTGCCATGATAGTGAGGTGCTATAGGCTATGCCTGGCTTTATCTGTGGTTATCATGATCTAAATGCATGATACTGGATGACCAATGGTTCATTTTAATAAAACTCAGAATATTACATTTTACCAAATAAAAATGTGGTAGTTAATTTTTTTTTAACAGATGTTACTGTATTTTTGTTAATGAACATAAATTTAACATAGTAGTATTAGCTTGAGTTAGGATACAGATTTACTGTCTACTCACTGTCAAATATGCGTTTCGAGACAAAACATGTAACGTTAATATTAATATTGCAGCCTGCACTGTAAACTGTGCTGAAGATACGTGCCATCAAAGTCAGGCAACACAAACCTTTTTCAAGACTTAAAGGAGCTGTATGTAAGAAATTTATTTCAATAAATCATAAAATGGCCCTGATATATCACGAGACATTAAGAAATCATGTACATTTCAAATACTTATATCACTGACAACAGTAGTCCGGCCAGGATATTGTCATTTAAAAAGTGCAGTTGCAGCCCTCAACTGATGTTGATGTTGTCATGTTGTGTTTTGGTCTGATGCTCCACCCTCCACCTATCTACCAATCACGAAGTCAGTAGTGTTGCGGCATCCGGGTTGCCAGCTCTGCTCTAGTTACCACAGCTGCAGCTCGTCACGTTCCTGCTGGATCCTGCAGCCGATCTGGCAACCTCGAGTCAGGGGGGAGGGGGAGGGGATACACCACTCTACAGTAATTTGAAAGTGATTGCAGTACCAGTTTTGGCCACAATCTTACATACAGCTCCTTTAACAATATCCCCCATTAGCACATGCAGAAACTAAGAATTATATTTTTCTATTCAGATATTTATTTTGTTAAGGAAAAATTACAAATGATGTTTGACCTCAGATTTGTAAAATGTTCACCTGTTTGGCAAGTGTTTGTCATGATATGTTCTGACAATAAAGAGTAGTTTAAAACCACAATTAACGCTCTGGTTTCTTCAACTTTCACTTAGGAGCAAAAGTCTGCCTTTAAACTTGAAAGAAATAAAGATTTGACATTTATCGTGATAATTATCGATATCGACTGATATGAAAAAATTATCGTGATAATTTTTTTTGGCCATATCGCCCAGCCCTATTTATACCTTATATATATATATATATATATATATATATATATATATATATAAGGTAAAAAATCTTACTTAGTGTTGCTTTAAAAGCAAGGTGTAAAAGAGGGACCCTGTTTTTTAATAAACTTTCTAGATCTTGTAGACAGTGTGGACATCCATTCTTCTTTTTTTTATCCAGCAATTAAATTAGCCCTAATTCTGGGTTTTGGATGTGCACACCTACTTTGTTTTTGGAACTAAACTCTGACAGGAAGGCATAACTTCAGGAGCAGGATGAAGCAGACCTGTCCTACAACATCAAGCCAAAACTCTTGATACCCCCATAGCAGCCAGGGCCTCCATCTCCTTCAGCATGTCGGGCCAGTGCTGCGGCCACTCTCGCTTGATCATCTCAACTACTATGCGTGAGAGCGCATCCTTAACATGACATTCCTCTTGCAGAATGGGATGTGTACCCTAAAACAGGACATTAAGCCATATAAATAAATAAGAAATCTTCACAAAGCATGCAATAGGATAATTGAGTAGAGACACTTCCAAGATGCTCACATCTGACAACAGGCCCATAGTGCAGTTCTTCAGCCGGAGCTTTTCTTGTGGTGCCATGTTATTCCACTGAAACCTGTTCATAGAAGAATGTGTTCAGTTTAGTGTTCAATGTTCACATCCACCCATTTTGGGATATCGCATAAAAAAACCTGAATGGAACAAATGTGCATAAAAAACTCATACGCTCAACTGAGGCAGATTTTTTTCTTTATCCAATAAGACAACAAGTATAAACTATGAAGGAAAAACATTTACTGATTAAATCCCTTGATGCACTAACTTGCGTGTCACTGCCTAAACAGAGAATGTGATTGGATAACAGGACTAACCAGCAAACCAATCACATCTCGCAGCATCTCAAATGTTGGTTTGGCGGTTCTGAAACACCCGAGTCAAAGTCTGTCATCAGAATGCAGGGTTTCCCATACATTGATTTATTTGTGGCGGCTCACCACAATATCAACATTGACCGCCACAAATAGATTTTAGTGCTTCCCATTCATTAACTAGACTGTGGCGGCTAGAAAATATTTGAACTTCTCATAATATCATAAAATGTCTTTAATGTCGTGTTTTGCGCCATTGCTGTGTCAAACAAACTAAAATCGAAAGCGCGATAAGGCTTTGTGTCCTTAATCAAAGGACTGTGTTTGCGCTGCGTCTCAATTCACAGTGAGTGAATGCAGTGAACTCCATCTGTTCATGTGCTGAGTTTAACGTGCTTTTGCGATCGCAGTTATGCATTATTTTCACATTTGCATTGTTGATGATTACAGAATTTCGCTAGACTTGTAATGAGACGTGTTTGTAAACTTATTTTCCGTCAAAATATAAGCTTGTTAAAATAAAAGCTCACAGGTTTCTCTCATTATAGAAATTAGGACAATTTATTTTTCAGTGCATTTGTTTTACAATATATGGCTATTACTCTCATAGGAATAATATTACAACAACATTATTATTATTATTGTGTAGTGTAAGGTAGACAAACACCATATCACAACTAAAAAGAGGTTTGAGTCCCCTTTACAGTTCAGGTACAAGTCAATGCACTGACTTTTTTCTGTGTTCAATTTGCACACTGAATATGGGTTGGAGCTCTTAATGTTGAACTCTCAAAGTGCACCGGATTGATGACTTTAACTTTAAAATGTACAATATTTTCTTACGGGGGGCATGACCCTGGACCCCACTCGAGGGACCGAGGTACACGTACAACAGATTCACAAAATCCTGTGGGAAACACTGGAATGGTTAGGTTATATTTTCTGCCCAGGAGCGTATTGCACGATTGCGTTTCCAAAAAACAGCATTCGACCGCGAGATAACATGACAGCGTTAATTGCATTTTTCGCCTGCAAGTTATTTATAATAAACAAAAAAAAGCCACAGCGGCTTCACCGATTGCAGAAACTTCAAATTCAGAACAGATATTCTGCACCAATTTCCCAGGAAGTGACGATTTTATTCTCTTGAACACATGGGGTAGACAGTGCTTTTTCGCAATTGTTTTACATGCTACACTAATTTTGGTACATTCTCAACTTGGGATGGAAACATAGGGTAGCTATTGATGTACACACACACACACACAAGTGTTTTAGACACTTACTTAACTACATGCTCCAGTATCTGCAGCCCAAAGTGTCTGACCACTGCCGTCTGTGATTTCTCCGCTAACTGAAGTCCACATTCAACGCAGAAGGGGCTTTTCTCTTTGAAATCTTCAATAAACTATAACAGCAACAACAAAAACATTAAGACATTTAACAACAACTTTACTTAGCCTAAATTAAATCTGTTCATCATATAAAGCGATCGTGTCTCTTCAGAAAATTTGAACTGAACCGCTCAATATGGATTCATTTTGCGATCTCTTTAACAACTTTTTGAAGCATCAAAGTGGTAGTTGCGTAACTGTCAATGGAGGGACAGAAATCTCTCAGATTTCATTAAAATATCTTTATTTGTGTTCTGAAGATGAACAAAAGTCGTATGGGTTTGGAACGCCATGAGGGTGAGTAAATGATGACAGAATTTTCATTTTTGGGTGAACTACCCTTTAACTATAATATTTCAATATATGGATACTATCAATATAACTTTTTTTTAATAATAATATTTCAATTTAAATAAGTTTTAAAAAACGTCCCCTATTGGGCCCCGGTCCCCTGGTTGAGAACCACTGGTCTAGTGTAAGTTAATGTGTTGATCGGCAGACTGCAATGTTAGTTTTATTTAATTATTTATAAGTTTTGGTCTTGCAATGACAATAATATTCATCCATGTCATTGTGTGTATCCGTTCTACTGCATCCCTTGATGTATGATCAAGTGAATGTGCATACAATATGTTATGTATGCTATGCGAGGTCCCATTGACACAATGTCGCCTAGTGCTACCTTCTTTTATGCTTCTTGATTGATATCGATAAGGTTAGTATTATAAAGCAACACATACGAACATAAACATAAACATAAACAAAATAAGATTACGACTTGATCGTTTGACTAATGAAATGAAAACGGGATTTTTCAAAAAAAACAATATTATTCAATTGTGACCTCCATAAAATGGATTTACGTATCAATAATACATAATAACCTTTTTATTGTATTTGATAGGATAATTCACCTTAAGGGCCTCCAGGCGGTATGTCTGACTGGATTCTGCCTCCATCATCACATTCACAGCCTTTATAAGCTCATCGCACAAAGCACGTATCGGTTCGGCCATGGCTTTAAGCACGTCCAGCAGACGGAATGTAAAACACCAGTCGACTAGTAAAATGCTACTGTACGCTTCGCTACTAGTTCAGCCTCTATGGATGTGCATTAAACAAAACGTGGTAGGTCTCTGCTGTCTGTGGACCGCCTTAATCAAGATGGCGGAAGTTACGTTCCCTCTGGGGATTGTAGTTTTTTAATGTTATTGACAAGCGCCACGTTAGTTTTACATTGGCTATTTGCTGAATATGCGTTTTTCTGTCTCTTTTCTATTGAAGCGACATTCTTACAAATATATAAATACCACAGTTAGTTTAAATAATATTCAGCAATTGTATATCGTAATGGTCGTATGTGTGAATATCTTAAATATTCCTCTCTCCTCGTTTTCAAACATGCCAGATCGCTTGCTTTTAGTTTAGAAAAAAACTTTGTAACGTCATATTTGCAAAAACATGTGATATATATATTATTATTTTTTACGGCACAAATCTACAAGCTGCATTCTTGTTAATATTAAAGTCCCCATGAAATCAAGTTTTTGAAGTGCGTTTTTTGGTTGTTAGTATGAATATGATAACCTTAGTGTGTTAGCCCTAGTGTGGTCCAAAACAATGACACAATTTGCATTCAAAACGTACCTCTAAAGTCTAACTTCCGCCAAGGAAACATTTATCAAGAAAAAGCAGAGGGTGCATTTATCAGATCTAGATATAAATGGTTGGAAAAGGGGGAAAGAAATACTAAGTACTTTTTTAATCTGGAAAAAAGAAATGGTGAATTGACCTCTATAAACAAATTGTTAATTAATAATTCAGTTACAGAGGATGAAAAAAAGATATCACAGTTTGTTACTCAGTTTTACAAAGGTCTGTACGCTCCCAACTCTCTTGTCTTCTGATCTGAATGACTTTCTAGATAATGTTTCAGATAATGCCAAAGTTATTGAGGATGATTTTAAATTATTTTGTGATAGTGATTTAAGGTTAGAGCGAGGAAGTTAAAGAATGTATTGGCAACCTTAAAGATAATCGTTCTCCAGGTAATGATGGACTTGTCAGTGAGTTTTATAAAGTGTTTAGAGATAAGTTAGCTCCTTTTTGCTGGCCGTATATTTATAGAATCTATTGAAAAGGGGGAACTGCCTTCCTCTTTAAAACTAGGTGTCATTACATTAATTCCAAAGCCAAATAAAAATATTCTTTATTTAGAGAATTGGGGACCCATTAGTCTATTAAATAATGATGCCAAATTATTTGCCTTAATCTTTGCCAAAAGATTGAAAAAAGGATTAGAAAATATTATAGACGAGGAACAGACTGGATTTATTCAAGGAAGGCACATTAGTAATAATATTAGATTGATACTTGATATGGTAGACTACAATGATTATGTTTTAGATGATAGTTTTATCTTATTTATTGATTTTCACAAGGCATTTGATACCATAGAACATCATTTTTTATTTAAAGCAATTGATTTTTTGGGGTTTGGCAATTATTTTCAAAAGGCTATCAAAACTCTATATAAAGGATGTACCAGTTCTGTAAAATTAGCAAGGGGGACTTCTGGCAGATTTGAAATAGGTAGAGGGATCAGACAAGGGTGTCCAATCTCCCCTTTTTTGTTTTTGTTAGCCACGCAAATAATGGCCCTTCACATTAAAAAAGGACATTTTCAAGGAATTACAGCATTAGGGAAAACATTTAGGTTGTGTCAGTTTGCAGACGACACTGCTCTATTTTTGAAGGATAGGAATGAAATCATTAAAGCAGTAAAATGCATAGAAGAATTTTCAGATGTATCAGGGCTAGGAATGATTATGAATAAGTCTGTTCTGTTTCCTCTCAAAGAATGTAATATTCCAATTGCAAATCAAGTAACATATCTGGGAGTTGTTATATGTAAAGATGAAAATTTGCGTAATGATTTAAACTTCAACCCAATTATTAACAAAACTAGTAAGAGGTTTAATGCATGGCTACAAAGGGATCTATCAATTCTGGGGCGGGTACTTTTGTCAAAAGCGGAAGGAATCTCCAGATCAGTCTATGTTTCGTTATCATTGGATATTCCCTCTAAAGTTACCAAACAATTAGATAAAATGCTTTTTGAAGAACAAGCCACATTATTTGAGAAAATAAATTTTATGCAATCCTAAAGATCATGGTGGTTTAGAGGTGTTGAGTTATGATGCTTTGAACAATGTATTTAAAATAAATTGGCTTAGTCAGTATTTAAAAAATAAAGACTGCATTTGGAATTCCTTTCCCAATTATCTATTTAAACAATTGGGCGACCTCTCATTTTTATTAAAGTGTAATTTTTGATTGAAAAAATACCATTTAAGCTTGCAAAATGTCATAAACAGGCTCTCATGGCATGGACACTGGCCTACAAACATAATTTTTCACCTAGGAGATATTATATTTGGAACAACAAAGACATCCTTTACAAAAATAAATCTCTTTTTTTTTACTACTGGTTTGAAAATAATATTATATTCGTTTTTGAATAATGATGGAAATTTATTAACATATAGAGAATTTTTGAATAAATGTAAAATACCAGTTAGACCTAAAGACTTTGCAGTTGTAATGGATGCGATTCCCAGGAAAGTATTGATCCTTCTTAAAAATACATCACAAGAGGAAGATTTAAATTTTACAGACATCATGGGTAAAATATTTCTGGGTAATACAAATATTTTACAAAATAAAGTCTCAAATAACTATGTTAGGAATATACTTAATAATATTGTTTACCCTCCAGCTCGCTTTTTCTGGTCATCTGTGTTTGGAGAAGTGAATTGGCGTAATGCTTGGCGAACAGTGGATAAATTCTACATTAATAACAAAGTAAAGGAAGTCTCTTTTTAAATAATGCATAGAATATATCCAGTAAAACATGTACTGGAACGTTTTAAATTAGATATTGATTACTCTTGTAATTTCTGTAAAGGTGAAAAGGAAACAATTTTTCATTTATTTTTCCATTGCATACTTACCAAAATATTTTGGATTGATGTGGAGCGTTTAATTAAGGAAAAATTGACCATTGACTTACAGCTGAGTGGATTTGACATTATGATACACTTCAATGATCATGGGATTGAGAAAGATAAGGCATACTTTGTACAATTGTTAATATTGATGGGGAAGTTTCACATTCATAAAATGAAACGGTCTGACTCCAAGCCTAACTTTTCTTGCTTTAAAAATGATTTTAAGTTTTATTGTTCTCTTTTAGTAAAAAGGCAATTAGAGCTTATAGCATTGTAGGCAGGTATGATATATAATGTAGCACCCCTTTTTTGTTTGTAATACTTTTTTTCTTGTCCTCTGGCACTGTTCTTTTTTTATTTACTTTGTTTTTGTTTCACTTTGAAGGATTATGTCTCATTGTATTGTTCTGTTCGTGGCATTAATTATAAATAAATAAATAAATAAATAAAAACTTCCGCCAAGGATCAATTATTTTAAAAACATCACTCTGCACTTCAGCTTCTCAGCAGATTTTCTGTCCAATCAAATGCACAGTAGAATCTGAAGTGTACCGCCCCCTTCATTATAAATAGAGTTGAAGTTGCTGCTAAAATCGGGCACTTTTTCATGTAGCCTACTATTTTCTACATGGTGAATGCATAGACATGTTAAGTTTTTGTTGTCCACTGGGTGGCGCTGTTACTGTGTATTTGAGCACCTGAGCAACAAGGGTGTGCCGTGTGCGTTCGGAAGCACACCGTTTTTGACCGCACTGCAGGGTAGCTCGCAAGGTGAATTTTAGTCTTATGCTGTCTAAGGTATGGTTTTGTGTGTGTGTGTGTGTGTGTGAACAAGGGGATACGGAATGATTCAGGCAGTGCTTTCCGTTGGGGCGAAGGAAGTCTGGTTTCACGTTAGTGTCAAGAGAACCACTGCAGCTCCAGTCCAGAGACACGTTAGCACAGAGCGGATCATGCGCGAGTCAGTGCAGACCAGAAAAAATATCGGACACATTTGAATTCTGCACAGAATACTATTTTAAAGCGATATGAAGCGGTCTCTTTATGTTTAATAATTACACTGTCATAAAAAAGTGTAAAATTATATCTTTAGGGGTAGGCCTACATCAGCTTGTCCGTGGACCAGAACCTCTCTAAGGGACTTGATCTCTGAAGTTTATTTACCCCCTGAAAGGTGCATTTTAGTACCTTAGAGTAGTAATATATAAAATGCATCTAATTTAAGGTGTGAATAAGCTACAGAGATCAAGTCCCTTAAAGAGGTTTTGCTCAGTGAAAAGCTGCTAAACCCCTAAAGATATATATTCTTTAAAATACAATAAACCTCAATGGTTTGAATTCCTATTAGGCCTATCTTAACCGTCACAGCCATATCTACTAATCTAACAATAAATAATCTTTTGAAAAATGTAATAGCTTAGTGCTTTTCTTTGGATTTTGGCGTGAAACTGAATATTTTTCATGAGATTCATCTAGTTCTTTTCTATATTCTGTCTTTAAATGGTTCACTAATCTGAAATTATAAGAAGATTTAGTGTCGAACACATAATTATCCCTTTTAAAGGTTCTTTAAGTGTGTTTTTTTAAGTATTTATTCAATTATCTGCATTGTTTTTATTATTATTCTGGTTTGTTATAAATCAGCATGAAAATTAATATTTTGGTCAATAAAATAAGTGTAAGAACAGGTTTGGAACACATTACATAACGTGTGTTAAGGAAATGTTTTCGGGTACCAACACACCTCAAAACCCGCGGAGAGGCTTAAAAGACAACTATTAAAAACTGTTAAAATACATGATCTTAACACAGTTTACAATCCATTGACTACTATTAGTACACCATTCATGGGTTTATCTCCCCCAAAAGTGTAAACATTGAGCCTCCCAGACATCATCTAAACATTGAAAGCGTTTCGCTCAGATCCGTCAATCTCTTTCCAGCTCAACCTATATTTGGAGTCGTGGCTACTGTAGCAGGCGGAGCTTAGGAGTGTTTAGCCGCAGTGGGACCATAATTAACACTTTATATAGGAAAAGACATTCAGCTTCGGTTACAAAATTGGAAGCCAAAACTTGCTGCATTTATACCTTAATAATTAAAATGGGTCACTAACACGTCAAAGCGAACAGGGCATTGAGATGCTTTA